TGATTCAAAAACTTCTTTCAATACTTGAGCATTCAGGCTGGTCAAAGTATAGAGTCAAAAAGTAAAGGCGAGTTTGGGTCCTTAAAATAAATAGCAGAAGCCTGGCGCTTTTGTATTTCTTGCAATCAACTTATTTGGCCTATAGCATGAAAGCGAAGTGGATTTAAATCGGCTTGTCCAGTTAGCAAAACTAGGATCCTCCCGCATCATTTTGATTTTCTTAGTATGTATTAACTTCTTTCAGACCTTTCAGGCTTTCAGGGGCTACAGCACATATTCTCGTCCAAGGCTCAGATGGATGAACAAAGAAGGGTCTCTCGGTAACCGGGACTTCTATTGCAGACCTTTCACCTTTCACACTGGCTATTCAAGCATTCCAACAAGCGGATAAGGATATTGCACTCCAGATGACCCTCAAGCCCGAAGACTTTAGGCTAACGTTGAACGATGAATTTGTGGCACCCGTACTAGATCTAGATGATTTTACACAACAGGACTTTGAGAATTTCGCAGCCGGTGAGACTAGATAAGTTTAACCAGCATCTCAGCATTCATCTGATTCTGCCATTTCGCATTTTGTCGCATAATCAGATTCAGGCTTGAACGAGGAGGAGCTAAGACTGCTTATGAATATGCCACCAAGTAGAAATATCGTCGCAACATCTGGCACCGATCAGGTCAACTCGGAACTTTCTGATGGTTCAAACACGCTCTCACCGAGGGCATCTTTTATCCTACGAGAGGGTGGCTTCCTCTGTAAACAAAAGGCCACCCATCATCGCATATTTTTCAGGTATATCTATCATATGTAGTCACCAGTTTTAGACACTCACATTGTCGCACATGTAGCTATCGCAGAGGTATGGAGCGGAATGTGAGTCAACTTCTTTCGATTTCTTTGAAGGAACGTGGCATGCATGCCTTCTTGGATCAAACGTGAGAGAAATTCTTTGTTTGGAGGTTGGCAGTCGACTTCCAGGAAAAGCTGACTCGCCTGCAAACGTGTGGAACATCAGATGTCTACCACCCGCTATAAATTGGCAGAACATGATCATTTTTGCCGTAACTCATGCCAACCTATTTGTTCCAATTGTAAGTCCGAAGCAAAGTTACCTGCTGCTCTCAATAATTTCCTCCAACCAGATTAGTGAACAGAGTTTAGAGGCCGTCAAGAAGGCAAATAGTGTTCCAGACAACATGTTGCTTGAGGTGAGAACCCATGCCTGTGGTCTGACTTCATACTGACCCAAAGTTCTTTAGTGGGAACTGGCGATTACAAGGAACGAGAATCAACTGTGCGCCATTTTTCCAATCTTTTTAAGTCAGAGGATCGACACGATAGAATTCAAAAATGTGGAAGTTAACTTTCAAAGGTTTGAGCTCTTTGTCCAACAAATTTATTTTCAAATTGTGACAACGATCAATCTAGACCTGCTTTGGAAGTATTCCCCAGTGACTTTCATATGCATGAAAGGTCTCCCAAGCAATACACAATACGCGAAATTGTTGAAAAGATTTTAGCCAACAACGGAACTTTTCTGATGGAAGCCAACGTGAATGTCGACAACACTGTGGATTCCATTGTGTCCGCCTCTCATGAAGTATAGTTTTCGTCGGAAAAATATATCTATTCACAGTATCCTGATTTTGTAATTGTGAGTCAACATTTGTTGCTTCTCTCCAAGCATCTTCCAACTACCAATGTACAAAGGAATATCGTGGTGACGCCCTCAAAAACGTATGCTGCTTTCCGTATCATCTCATCACGCTGCTTGCTGCTTGGAGAGAGATTACAAGCCTTTGAAAAAACCCTTTTTCTTGCTTCGCCTTGAGCCTCATGGGCCTCAGTTGATGGAAATTCACACCAGTATGAGTGGGTTGAAAATGCATTCAGGTCAATTCTTACTTCTTTTGCTGCTGTGGCGGACTGCTGATGCAGGTCTTACTGTTTACTCCTACTACTATGACAGCAGTAAGTAAAATTCAGGATTGCATAGGTCAGAAAAGCTCATGAATACTTGTTAGATTGCCAAATCCCACCGGGAGGTGTACAGAGCTCCTTTTCGATAAGCAATCCTGCAACTTGCAGCGGTGTAAGTCAAACCTGTACGGCTGCTCCAGCAGGTGCTTACAACTATGCATTCATACTCGAATATTGGTAAGTCATGTTTGAAGGAACCTCAATAATGGCATCTAACATGTATCGCCTGCGCCAAAGTGATGACTCCATAACACCTTCAACTTGGCAAAGTTACACCAATCCAAAGTGGGCGACCACGTCACTCGCCCATGTAGCAGTTTACGGCGATACGTCTTGCAGCCAAAGTAAGCCAATCCCGCTCATTGACATCAACTAGATTGACTTTCTGTTTCTAGATCTCCAGACAGTTTATTTTTGGCCGCAGGCTATATGTTTTCAGCAGTATTTGGCTAGCACGTCCTTTTGGCTACAATGCAATAGTGGTCTGCTGCAAACAGTCACCTGCACGGATACGGTTAGTCGACAGCCGTCGTTTTATGTCTACCTACAGCTGTACCAATTTTCACTTTGTTTCAGGCGTGCACGACTGGGTGTTCGGTTACGCAATCGACTGATGGCCATTGCGGTTACGCCGCCAGTGGTTGGGAAGGATTTTGCTCAGGGACCACCGAATTATTGCCTAAGGCGTCGCCAGCAGCCTCCCCTGTCGCGTTACAATCTGCTGCTGCGAGCTCTGGGTCTTCAAGCTCCGGGTCCTCCAGCTCGGGATCGTCTGGCTCTGGATCCTCCAGCTCTGGATCGTCTGGCTCTGGATCCTCCAGTTCTGGTTCTTCAAGCTCAGGATCGTCTGGGTCTGGCACAGGTGAAAAGATTTGAACTTTTGTCTTGTTCCTATCGAAGCATTCATACCCATGAATCATGATTTAATTGAAAATTTTCCAGTTGCCAGTCCAGCTATCGCATCACTTGGGATAAATGGTAACGCTTTTAGCTCAATCTTTGAAAAGTTGTGAATCGCAAGATCATTGACCGTTTCACATATAGCAACGACTACTTCTCTTCCAAATTCAGCTGTTAATGGGACTAATTCTGGAAGTGGTGGTTCAACGGTCGGGGCCGCAGCTGGAGGAACTATTGGAGCTTTAGTAGTTTTGACTGCTTTGGGGTACATTGCGTGGCGTCGCTTTAGAAATCCATCTCCTGAACCCAAAGCTGTCGAGTTGGAGGCAAAGATCAATGAAGCAGCTCTGGTCAATACGCCATCGACTAGTGTGCTATCGGCAATGACTCCACAAGTGAGCATCTAATTTGCTGTGATTACCGGTGAAGGAAGGTTAAATTTGCTGTCTATAGACCTCGGCTATCCCACTTCCACCCACGTATGATGAAACATTTCAAATTGACGGTCCTCTGCCTGCAGCGCCGGAAGCAACATTGGACACGTTCATTTGCATTTCGTGAGTGAAGATCATTCTACGTATCTATCTACATCAATACTAATCGTGGTCTGGCTGAAAAATACCTAGGCCTTTTGAAGCGAACGCAAGTGTACCTCGATCCCTGTCTATGGCCGTTGGTGATAAACTTATTTTAGTGAAGGTGCTCAACAATGGATGGGCTACTGTAATCAATCTCAACGGCGATGTCAATGTGTCTGGTTTGGTACCTTTGCGATTTTTGGCCGCGGTGCCAAAGGACACGAATGTTAACATTGATAAGGCTAAATCTCAATTTATTAATGCTCAACCTACCATCTTTACGGATGAAGGTGGTGCTGGTAGCTCGGCATAATTTTGGCTTGAACTCTAAAACCATTATTGAATAGAAATCTGCTTGAAACTTGAGCCAGCTGCAGTCTCGCTGTCAGCGCTTAATCTAAAGAAAAGACCATTTTTTTGACGGGAAGAGAAATACACAGAAACGTTGTCTGGCACCCCCTCACGATTATTCTTTTCCTCCTGGGTTCCAGTAAAAGCCCATACGGTCGTCTTCATCGAAAAAGTCACTGCGTTCGGGATTTCTGGGGTCGACAACCTGCCCATCGTTACATGCAACGTAACAGATCCATTCTGCTCCTTTTTGGTTTTTGGGTTTGGAAAGAAGCACCGCGAGCATTGAAAGAGTGCTTAAAGCGTTCAATAGGTGTGTAGAGTTATTGTTTTGCCATTTTGTGGAATTTGTAAACGGCTTTGTCGTTGGAATTCTTGAATTCTTGGATTATCCGCCCGTTGGGAACCCCTGGCACACTGTGCTGAGTCATAAAGGCGCGTTTGGCAAAGTTTTCAAAAACAGGGTTTTCGAGTTTTCAAAGTACGTCGGCATTCTTTCTTCAAAACTGGTCCTAAGTTTTTAAGTTGTGTTTGGTTCGTTGGGGTTTCACGCGAAGTTTTCAAGACTTCAACTGGAAAAAAGGTAACCACAATGAATGAACACCACAGAGCTACATAGGAAAGCGATTTATTCAAGAATTATTAATGATTGCCTCCAATGAACGACTTGGAACGGGCTTGGGCGCTTGAAGATCTACAGAAAAAGAAGAAAACAATAGTAATTGCTGCCGTTGCTGCTGCTGCCATGATTGTTATGACAGATCTCCCTAGAAGTGTAGGAGTACCTAATTGGACTGATGAGATTTCTGGTGAAGAGTACTGTAGAAGGTACATTTAACGTAGGACTGATGAAAAGTTTAGGGAGCAGATTCCAATGGAAAAGGCTGATTTTTAAGATCTCGCCAACGAATTGAGAGGCCAGGGGCTTCTACAAGACTCTCGTCATGGTATATCTGTAGAACAGCAGCTTATGATGTATTTGAGGTTTGCTGGTGATGAGTTAGGCAATCGGGGTCTTCAAGACAGATTTCATTGCAGTGGTGAGACATTATTGAACTATATAAACCAGGTCAACAATGCCCTATTTTCCATGAGGACTACCTATATAAAGCAGCATTCTCCCGAAACAGGTCGAGCTGCAATGTGTGCAGAATTTAGGCCATACTTTGACGATTGTCTTGGAGCTATAGATGGAACACATATACGAGCATTCTTGGGAGGAGTCCCTGAAAACAGACGGCCCCCATATCGTAATAGAAAAGGCTGGCTCTCTCAGAACGTTATGGCTGCTTGTGACTGGAGCATTTAATTCACTTTTGGGAGTGCTGGTTGGGAGGGATCAGCTGCTGATGCAACGGTTTATCGTGCTGCTAGAGCATCTGGCGCGCTGGTGGTTATACCAGACGGTATGTATTATTTAGCGGATGCGGGCTATGGTTTGAGTAAAGAGCTATTGACGCCTTCCGAAACACCCAATGTCATCTCAAAGAATGGAGCAAGTCCCACCGGCAGTGAGTCATGATTTCTATGTATTTATGGAACTCTGTATGCTTATTTTGTCCTTCCTTTGACAGACCAAAAAATGCTCGTGAGATCTTCAATCTCAAACACTCCTCTTTAAGAAATGCAATTGAAAGAGCCTTCGGAGTGTGGAAAAAACGCTTTAAAGCTCTGACGGAATCTGATAAGCATGGATATAATATGAAATCTCGAGTGAGGATGTCTTGGCACTGATGGTGATTCATAGTTTTATTATCATTGCTCGTGGTGAAGATGTCGTAGCATTAGAAGCTGCATGTCCATCTAGAGCTGGCAGAGCTCCACCTGAAGATGATGATGACGACGAGGGCATAGACCATTATGAAGAAGCAGCAGAGACATGGCATGGTACCATGGCGAACACTATATGGGAAGACTATCAAGCAGCAACAGTTAGACGACGAGTTCGATAACACAGTTTACTTGCTATTATATATATTTTCGTAACCATATCGAAAGCCAAAACTGGATAATCGTCGTGAACTAGTTCCTAATCTAAAAGTACTGGTGTTAAATCAACCATGGGCGGGTTTATTACATATTATGACACTGATATTGGCTCGCTCCACATTGTCAGAGCTTATCGTTGTAAAGGATGGTAAACCAGTAGCTGTTATGCCCTTCCTGTTAAGCAGTCTAGAAAACAGCCGCCAGTCACTCACTAAACTAGAAATGAAAGGATGCAATATACTAGATGAGCCAGATGCTCTGGGCTCGTTTGAAGATCATCATCGTCATCATCCCCAGCTGGGCAATACCCATCAAAGACAGCGACACTCATCACACCAGTTTGCGCATGCACCCTCGCCTTCCTCCCAGACGGAGGAGCCTTTACGGCAAAACGAGGCAACATCATTCCGTGCTAATGGCCACAACTCGCAGATGCCTTCTGCGGACGGTGGGAGTACGTCTTAGATCCGTTCACTTTTTTAAGCTCAGTAGGCAATGGAGCAATAACACTTGACGTCGTCTTGCTGGGAAAGACACTGCATGCGGAGGAGCGGATGGTCACTGAATGGTTCGGTTTGCATCCATAGCTGGGACCGTTCTTGAGCCCAGATTCCTTGTAGCTAAAGCCTGATATTAACGAAAACAGGATGTGAGTTGATTGACAGCAACTACAAAAAAGAGTATCAAAGCAAGCTGGAATCACGAAAACATGACTTACTTTTGATTTTGTGCGGAGAGCGATGTTACTTCCCGTTTTATAAATGACAGTAGATTTAGCTAACCTTTGGCGACACACCTTGTGCAAAAGCTCCAGTAGGACTTTTGTTGGTGCGGCGAGTGTATCCAAATCAAGTCTGATGTCTAATGAGGGCACTTAAAGAGAGGAATAGGGCAAAAGCAATGGAGAAATATCCTTTCGGCGCGCATTCTTACCAAGATGGCGCACCAGAACTACCTGAAACGAAACAAGATCAAGCAGTGTTCCTGCCTCGTCTGGCGATAACTTCTACCAACTTTCAACAATAGCTACATTTCTTCTGTACATTTGTACAATGCAAGAGGTACCAAATATAACAACCACACATTCTCAGTAAATTTTACAACATTTCACACATTTACCCCTCTGACTTTTAACCACGTTTAACACCAGACTTTAACAATCTCCACCCATGAGGCCATATTCCCATGGACCACACGTGGAATGCTTCTGACTCTATAATATCGGCATAATGGTCGACGTCTGCTATGTACTTCAATACAGCCTTCTCATGACACGATCATCTCGAGAGCATATGTCAGATCGACGAAGCATATCCAAGATGTTGTCATTGTGCAAGTCACGGGGTATGATTTCGTTCAACACCATAGGGTAGAGTTCGGGCAAGTTGTAATAATCAGGCGCACCCAGTATTTCGAGACCAAGTTTTGCGTTTACTACATCGTTGGCATCGTCTTCTTTGACATTGTTGGAATGGAGGGATTCTTTATCATCATCCATACCGCTATCGTTCCCTGATTGAGGCATGTCGTCATCATCGTTGCTATTATAGGGTCTATGTATTGATTGTCGATATAAACGAGGTTTTCAGTGAAGTTTTCAGCTTAGCGGAGGGCGGCCTCCTCTGGAACTCTGGAACCAAAATCTTCTGTGATCTCGGAATTTTCGGATTCATCATCGGTTTCGTCTTCAGATTTATACTCATACTCATAAGAGCCATCGGGGCATCCACTCCCAGTCACTCTCATAATAGAGATCTTTCAAGTCTTGGGAATACTCAATATTGGCTGCTATTCCTTTCAAACCCCTCTCTCCATAGATAAAGCCCAATACAGCCTTCATACAGTCAGCACTCTATTCGACCTTGGATGCGTTTACGAGAGTGGCTCGGCGTCAATTGTTATGAGTACCAGATCGTAGTACTCTCCATAGATAAAGCCCAATACAGCCTTCATACAGTCAGCACTCTATTCGACCTTGGATGCGTTTACGAGAGTGGCTCGGCGTCAATTGTTATGAGTACCAGATCGTAGTACGATATTTTGAAAGACGAGTGATGCATTTCTCAAGATCAAGCTATGAGCTGGAATGGTCTCTACCATTCCGTAATCTTTGACGGTTTCAACAGGCTTCTTAGCAATTTTTCCCAAATTGCTGAGTTCTTGCTTGTCTGCGATCGCTGAGTTTGAGGCAAGGACCACTGTGAATGGCATATCATGAGGTCCGAATATAGGAGATTGGGAATGATGCGATGAGAAGGGTTGCTTGGCACAAAAGCTGATGCGAAGTTGATGAACCACGAACATGACGTTTCCTTTCATCCAGGAGAGAGAACGCCTCAATCCTCCATGTAGTAGAAGCCGACTGTTCAATAGATGCTCCTTTTCCTTTAGCATTCTATTTGAAATATGGTGATTTAGAAAAACAATGTTTGGAAATCTGCAGTAAGCTTCATCAATCGATGATATAGCGTACGGATCAAGACGATTTCTTGGTATATATGGTGCTTGTGAAGCGCATGAAAGGGTCTCACCGAGCTCTCTATTCTCTGAGCGAAGAAACTCTCAGAGTCTTGATTTTTTGGCAAACATGAATATGATGTTGAAGAAGACGAGTAAATAGACCAGTATCGCGTATTGTCCCGTAAACTGCTGTTGATTTGAGACGCGCTTACAATACGAACCTCAGGAAGAACTACCAGAAAGCTTCGAAGATCAACGTCTATGTCACTGCAGACCGAACTAAAGCAAATCCACTACTCCCATGCTGATTTAAGCCGAAACATGATGTGCTGTGATCTTCCAGTAGAAATGTAATATAACAGTTCGTATTATGAAGATTGGAAACTCGAAATAGTTCTAGGACATGCTGCTACCATGACTATATCTATGGCAGGGCTTTAAACTTGACTAATAGCGGCATGTACGGCATCATATGTTGGCCACCCAATAGTTCTCTTAACGATACCCAACAGAGACTTGGTAGGGATTAGAGTCACCAACCAATAAACAAGAGATGACCCTCCACCAGACCATACTATTTTCACGATTGTAAAAAAATTAAGTTCCGTCTTTGAGCGATTCAAACGAATTTGCTTTTTAAATTCATTGTTACCATTAGCAGGAGCTGCACTCTTGAGAACCTTTGGCATAGCGTCAGCAACAAACTCATCAGTTGGAGTACGATTGATTGGTGTTCGCGTGTTTCCCTTCTTGAAGAATGCGACCATAGCTGGTAGTTTAGCATACAGAGATGTAGCTGGTAGTTCGACGGCAGGCTCTGCTTTGGCTGAAAATTCCGATACGACACCGCCTTCGTTTAAAGTGTTAGAAAGCGTAACTGCGGAATGTGGAAGCGTACACGTACCTGGTGAAAGAAGCACCACATCAATTCCCAGAGGCTCCATTTCCATTTTCATGCCGTAAGTCAATGCAGACACTGCAAACTTGGTTGATGAATACCAGATTGAAAGTATCGCTGGTGCATGGCCTCCGACACTGCCGACGTTAACGATTCTGCTTCCCTTCTTCATGTGGGGAGCTACAGCTTGCGTTACAGCCAATATTGAAACGACATTGGTTTCATATAGTACTCTAGCTTTGGCCAAATCCAGATCGAGAACAGGTCCTCGTGGAGCGGGCATACCAGCTGTATAGTAAAACGAGAGTAAAAGGGTGAGAATAGAATATTTGAACTAAACAAATCTTCATGTAAAGAGGCATGTACCAAACAACGACACAGTATACCGAACATCAACAGATTCATAAGAGTGCTTTGATCAAGCGGGGGTCCAAAAGATTGTCAGGCTTACCATTGTTGATCAAGAGATCGACGATGCCTCCAGGGCATTGAGATACAATAGCTGATACCGCCGTCTTGATGCTGACAGCATCATTAACGTCCAATTGGATCTTGACGACGTTCGGATGAGTAAGGCCAGACATTCTCTCAGTATTCCTTGCAGTAGCAAAGACTTTGTAGTCGTGTTTCAGGAGCCATTCACAAATTGAAAAGCCGATACCGCCATTAGACCTGGATTCGGTGTGTGGTGAGCAACGAGATCACTTTTGTTCAAGGCAGACGCGAGATGCAAATAGCAAGCGATGCAAGCAACTTACGAGCCGGTAACGATTGCTGTCTTCATCTTTAGAGCTAGTAGTATGAATTGGAGTGCTAAGATTGTGAAGAAAATTACGTGGTCTTGCTCTCTTCGTATCTTGCATCGTGGAACCTTTTCGCCGACTTTTCTTTTCCATTGCATCCGCAAGTCACTTTGGTCATCTCCCCACGTGCAAGAGAATAATAGCGAGATCCAAGCTATTGGCTATTGTCGCGTTCAGTCAGCCTCCTCGTCTCAACGCAAACCCCCAAATCTAACACATTTTTCGCAGCAGACCTTTCTCGCTCCTAAGGTTGAAGCTTGAGGCAAATATCAACAGTAACACGCGTAAATACGCGCGGTTAACATGCGTAAATACGCGATCAGAATCGCCTTAAGTTCTATTTCGTTCACTTGTTTCGACAAAAGGCTCTTACTGCTCGTATTAGTCCAAACATTTGTGAAAAACTAAAAAAAATGGCGAAACGATCAAGAATCGTGCAGTTCGATCTGCCCGACACTCCGTACGATAGCTCGGCCTTGGGCTCTTCATATCCACCGCAACAGCCATTCTCCTATCATTCATCATCAAATCCAACATCCCCGGTTTTTGTTCCGAGGTTTTTTCGTCGTTCCAAAGATCCTTTTGATTTTGATTTCTATAGCAAGCACATCATTAACTCGATTTCTTCGCATCGAAATCTAGGAATGAAGCAGCCCCTATCGGTCATAAAGCTCGTATACCGAAAAGGACAACAAAACTCAATGAAAAACTGATTACATTGCCTGTCGAATCTCCTGGTGTAGAAGCACCTGAACAGCAACCTATAGAAGATGCAAGAACGGATTTCGAACGTATGGGTCATGAAGATCGGGAAGTCGCTCTACTACCACGAGTGACGGGTTACTGTACTTGTGAAGGGTACAACCTAGAAGCCTTGTCGGCGTGGATCAAGTCTCGCCATAACAAGAGCACTACCAAATACGATGAAGCTTTGTACATAAAGTACACACAACCTTTTCCATTGTCGCCGATTGCTGATGTTGTGCCTTCAAAGAGGTGCGTGTATCGGTTGGTTTTCTTGCTCGTAACTCATGCATTGACACTCATTCCCATATTCTAGCAAACGAACGAGGAAATCATCATGGGGTCCTGACCAGAATGGTGAAGAAGCGGACGAGAGAGCTCCACTCTTGCCTACTACTCATCGACGAGCATCATACAGTTTTGAAGGTGGACTGAATCAATTGTCCAACGAGATTGTAGAATCTATCGTGGAGACTGTAGGTGTATTTGATGATCAAGAGGTTTTTGTCTTTGATTATGGAGTGGTCGTGTTTTGGAACTTCAGGTATCTTCCTTTTTTGTTTAGCGTCGTTTTTATACTTGAATTATCGATGCAGTTTCATGTCATAACTGCGTATTTGCTTTGATAGTCAGAACAACGAGGCCAAATATTTGAGGGAAATATCCAGGTTTGCTGTACAGTTACTACCAGCAGGTACGACTTCACCGCTTGACGACAACCTCTTTTTAGCTTACAGGGTTCTCACTATAGATGAAATGGAAGTGGAAAGCTTTCACTTTACTGTCAACGCCTTGGCTGACCAGGCTAGAATCTTCAACGATATGTTGACGCTCATCAACAGCAATCCCATGATCAAGCTATCCATTTCACATGCCATTGGCCAATCTTGTAAACTGGCTGTCTTTGAATCCAATGTTGGGAAAATGATTGCGTCTACGCAGCATCTGCCTCTACAAATGGCTCAGTAAGCCAAAAAATGGGATTTATTACACATGTCAAATCTTGACTGACCTTATCTCGAATAAACTAATAGGTATGGAGACTTGAAGATATCCAGAGAGGAAGTCGTCAAGATGGTAGGATCTCTCTTCAAGCTACGGATGAATGTGAATTTGATATCCAATGTGCTAGGTAACATAGAACCACTTTTTTGCCGACGTCCACGTCATCCAACCACAAACATCTAATCCAATATCGGTATCAATCCAGATCAACCAGAGTACCTCTGGTCTGCGCCAAACTTCACGCCCCTCTACAACTCAATCCGCAAGTATCTAGAAATCAGCCAAAGAGCACGCCTACTCAACTCTCGAACTGAAATCATTGGTGACTTGATGGACATGTTGGGTGAACATATAAATCGTTCAGCTATGAGTTCTATTACTGTTATCATCATTGTGCTGATTCTTATTGCTATCTTCGTTGCCTTTTTCGAGATTGTTGCAAAATGGTCGCGGCTCAAAAGGGATCATTGATGATTTCAAAGAGTGGAATAAACGGTGCGGTATTTTTATGAGTGTATCTCATATGTTTCTTTGCATTATATCGTCTTTGGCCAATGAAATATACCAGTCATTATCAGTACGATCTAGATCTGTATACGCGGATAGTTTCAACGAGCTTATACAAAGTTTCAGCGATCTTATACACAGCTACACAGCGACGCAAAATCTCTTTTATTGGCCATCTTTAGCATTCTGGTAAGAACGACTGGCCTGACGGGCCATCTGCTTGGCGGTGCACTCAAGGGGATTTCAGCACTTCTAGACCTCAGACTTCAAGTACCAGGATACCACCATAATCAAATAAATACATAACATAAGAAGTGTTCCTGAAACGGTGAGTTCTATGTTCTATTTCTCTACTTTGGCGGAAGAACTACCCACTTTGTAGAGAATTGCTTCGTAACGTGTTTTCTCTTCAGATCAACATTACAACTCCCTCGTCAATTCTGTGTTATTCATCTACGCTTGGTGTAACTGCCGATTGGACCAACATTAAGCGTAGTAATGGTCAAATCGTCGTAAAAAACAATGGTGGTAACTCCTTATACGCAGTAAGTCGTATGAGACATTAGTTTCCAGCGTCTGTTTTTGGTTGTCCAACGTATGTAATCCCCTGTGCCATAGACACAAATGCAACGACTACCCAACAGCAGGTGCTGATTTTCATTCGGAGCAGAATATGTTCCTAGCAGTCCTAACCGTCCGAATTAGAAAATCAGCTTGATGTTTTCCAAAAGATGTTCTTTGGGTCACAGCATTGCACAGCACTGACCAGATACGCTATTACTACCATCTCTACTGCAAAAATATTAGTTCCCTAATTGTGGTTTGGCGACTGAGCCTCGGAAGTCAAGTAGCCTTGGTTGCTGGTTGCTGACATCGTAATGACTTTCAAAGTATGTGATTTTACAGATCTCAGAACAGCATTTGATGTGCCATCTTGTGCTTTGAGCAGAAGCAGACCTTATTCTCGTCGTCTGGTGTCGAGCTTTGGGCAGTTGCGTCTTTTCTCTTTTGACAAAGCATTACTACAGCATATTATCAAGCCTTTCAACCAAATGCTGGGTACTATGCAATAGTACAGTATTTTCGGAATCTTTTGGAGAGTCTCGGGCTTCTTGCCACAAATGTCTGACTTTTGAATCAAAATATATGTGGTGGCGATCACTGGTTACATCCAAATTCACAGGAGACCTTGCCAGAGAAAAAGCAGTGTTGACTGTTGTTGGCCTAATGTCCTCACAGTAGTGTCGCTTTTGAATTTGTTTATTACCTTGTGCCAATCGATAAGAAATTAACGCTTTTTTTGAAGATCATTGAAACGAGCTATGTCCAAGATTGAATCTGGCATAAAGTTAGGTATCAAAAATGATAAGCAAGTCAATATTGCCTCGAGATCTTGTGCCTCTTTTGATGATAGTGTGACTTTACGCATGCAATAGAAAACTGTAGAGAGGTGTGCTCTTCAATACAGAACTACGCCGATTAAATGACTTCTGTTGAAACTTTCCACAATTACTCCTTTCGTATGCTATTAAATCTTTCCAGCTTGACCAACCAAAGACTTGCTACTCTCGGTTGGTGTTACTAATTTCACTTCACCATCAAGTAAAACCGAAGATACCACCACATGCTTGACATGTTGTCTGCGACGTGTCACTAAAACAAATGCCATAGCCAAGATAGCCAATACACTAACAGCACCGCCTACACTTCCAGCAATTACTGCAATCTTGTTGGAATTATTAGTAGTAGATGCAATGGTGGCCTTCAGTCCAATCGGAGGCACCATGGTTTCAGGGACACCATCACTTGCCGAGACACTGCGTTTTAATAATACCTTACTATTTTCTGCGGCGACGGGATATGTCAGGCCAAGAACAATGCTTAGGGTAAAAGTCTGGATATTGGAAGCGGAACCAGCGACACTAGCCGAGTTGATCAAATTAGGAGGAGACACTCCTAAGAAAGAATGATAGTTTGAATGAGGTCAACTGCAGCAGTATTTGAACGTTGCATTTTTACCTTCAGTCAACTTGAAAGACAGTGCCCAGGGAAGGAGTCCTGATCCTGCCGTTCCTGTAAAGCTAATACCAGCGGAGGTATAGTGGCTGAACGTTTGATCTGTCACGGATCCTCCGATGACCTTGCTAGCGGAGCCCAAGGCAACACTAGAGACAGCGATTGGAGAATTGATGTATCCGTTGATAGTGTAGACACCTCCCGATTGAAGACTGCTGTCACTCTATGTAAAGAAGGCTAAGCTGTCAATAACAGATTACAAGAAGCAACGGATCTGCGGTTCATGCAACTTACTGCATATGCAGAATTACCACCATTGTTTGTAACAACGATTTTTCCACCACTATCCTTAATGTTGGTCCAATCGGCAGTGACGCCAACCGTAGATGATGAACACAGATTTGACGAAGGAGCTGTAATATTGATCTGAAGAGACATGGAAGAGGAAAACGTCAAAAGCTGATTCCTTACACGAAAGTAGACAATTCCTTCCAGGAAAAAGGAGAAACTCACTGTCACAGGAACATTAGAAGCAGTACACCCTTGAACATCAGTACAGCCCGCAACCAAGGTGACTTGATATATACCCGCTGCATCAACAGCCCCACCATGCCCATCATCCCCACACAAGTTTGTTATAGCTGAAGCCAGCGTGATGCTCCAAGATGATTCGGTAATGACTGCAGCGGCTCCAGGTCCTGTTGGGCTCGAACCAGTAAATGCTGGATCTAATAGATTGATTGCGACAGGAGGAGTGGCAGTTGAAGTGATCTTTAGAGGATTGGTTGATGCATATGTTATAGAGTTGTAAGGGAATATGGTAGCAAACTGTAACGAGAGTACAAATTTTCCAGTGTGGCCCGATGCATCCGTTCGAGTTATCACTAACACTGATGAAATAGTGGTGTTGTCTATAACAGCGCTATTACCAACGTTTGCTGATATTCCGACAGGGGTGATTGCAATTGCTTGGGGTGAGTTGATTACGACTTCAACAGGATTGGCATAAGTGTCACCAGTTCCCGCCTGCCAAGTGTCAGTGTTAGAAATTATTTCTTCTAAGTGAAACAAGTTCAATGTTGCATTCACCTGTGCACTTCTCCACAAAATATTAAAGAACAACGAGTTTGAGACACTGGTTCCCACGGTAGCGTGCTGTAAACTACAGCCTGTATGATTGAGTGCGTTTGGAGTGGACAGCAAAATAGAGGTGAGGTCGATACGGTAAACATCCACTTGACAACCGTTTTGCAAGGTTGTCGTGGTCATTGTCCATCCAGCAACACCATCTCCACTTTTATAATTGTAGCATACTTCGGACAAGAATGCTGTTCCGGCACTAACACTATACTGAATTGCAAGAAGAAGGTGGTTGCTAGAGTCAATCTGACCAGGAGAACTTGTTGCTGTCAAGATCTCAAAGGTCAATGGGTCTACAAACAAAGGCGAGGCAGGGCAGTCTGGAACTACAAATTCAAAATGAAATTCTTTTAGCGTTCACCTCGCAGTGAACAGTATAATGCAGTTTAAACTTTACTTCGAGAAAGTTTGCGGATGGCGTTGTTAAAAGTGTCTGCTACATAGACATTTCCAGTAGTGTCGACCGCGACACCACAAGGCAGCAAAAAAGGAAAGTCATCAGCGAGGGAAGTTACAACTCCAGATGTCGATATCATTTTGATGGCGTTGTTATTAGTATCAGCTACATAGATATTTCCAGCATGGTCAGCAGCGACACCATAAGGATTCCAAAATCCGCCAGTGACGGTTGTTATCATTCCAGATGTCCATATTTTCTCGATGGAACCGTTGATCTGGTCTGCTACATAGACATTCCCATCAGTATCACTAGCGATGCCTCCGACGGTCAACCCAAATTGACCGAGAGTAGTTACAGCTCCAGATGCGGATATCTTTTTGATAGCGTAGGGGTCAGTATCTGTTACATATACATTTCCATTAGTGTCAATAGCGACACCATGAGGGTCAGAACCACCAATAACGAGAAGGGTTGAGACAGTCCCAGATGTCGATATATTCTTGATGGCATGGTTATTAGTATCGGCTACATAGATATTTCCAGCAGCGTCAACAGCGACACCATGAGGGTAACTAAATTCACCAACGTTGAGGGTTGTTACTACTCCAGACTTTGATATTTTTTTTATGGCACTGTTGACGGTGTCTGCTACCTAGACATTCCCAGCAGTGTCAACAGCGACACCATAAGGAGTATTAAATCCAACACTGCTGATAGTTGTCACAGTATAGGTAATCCCCTCTGCGATAGACGCAAATGCCACTAGTACCGAACAGAGTAAGCTACGAATAATCATTCTCAGCTAAATGCGTTCCTAACAATCCTAAGTAACAATCCTAAGAGTAGGATTGTCATGTTAAAGAATCAGCAATGTCACCCACAATTTGTTTCATAGAAATGCACCAAGCAAAAGCACAGCACTTACCAGAAATAGAATTCTTATGATCTCTATGTAAAGTACTGCAGAATGTCTCTGTAAAACGTAATTTTATGCTAACCAGCCTGGGGAATTACCTAGGTTACCACATGTTGCGCACCATGAGCCTAAAAGCACGCACAAACAAATTGTTCTCTTGTATCTGTTTAATGGTGGTTGACGACCATGACAGTAGCTGTATTGGTGCTCGCTCTACTAGTTCTCTTATTGCATGGTTAGTGTGGAGCATCACATTCGTCAAACAAACTGCACATTTGTGTTTGGATTTCCTTGGCAACAAAGAAGATTCAACATGCAAGGAACATTACGCGTTAACCCAGCTTTTTGTTACAACAGGAACGCAAATAATCTGATGTATTGCACCAGCCTTTGTTGACCTCACCACATATCGACCACTACCACCATCACAATCACAATCACCAGCTACGATTTCTGAGGGAAATTATCTACATCTTGTCATTGCGTATGTTCCTTCATTAGGCTCTGCAGGTCTCGTAGAAGCCTCCCCAACCACACGCCTAGCATGTTTCGATTATGCCCCTGAAGCAGGATACGGGACATGAATCAAACGAAAAAGTGGAACAATTAGACGAGAACGATCCACATTTTTCTGCCTCGTCATCACTGAAGCTAAGTAATACAACCTCATCAGAGCGTTCAACTTCCTCGACAGACAGTACCCAACACACTTTCCACGCACATCCTCTCGAAGATGAAGAAGGACAAGTGCCAACCCCATCAATATCATCATCTAGACACTACTCAGCAAGCTTCCGCCGAACCAAAATATCAAATCGCACTATGATGACCTTAGATGACGAAGCTGCTGCATTCCCTAAGGCCGTTCGTAAAGACTGGCTCGGTATCGATGTGAACGCCCTCGACTTTGACAAAGATGGTCCAATCCTTCACAAAGGGAACTTACCGTTTCGCATCGAAACAATACAAAATCACGTCTATCTGGTAGTAAGCAAGAACCGTGCGACAAATCTGGGCAATATGGTCGAAAAGATACTTGACAGTGGTTAATCGTACAGTTGTGTTGCCGATAAGAATGGATTTACAGTGGGTCAGCTTGATGATGCTGTATTGTCTGCTTCTGAGTCACCCGCCATCCGACATCAGGCATACGCACTGGTATACCGCTTTTCTCTGCCAACAGCTGCCGATTCTGTTTGGGTCGGGACTACAAGCATCGGGATATGTTGCCCAGCGACTCCAGATACAAAAACCCTCCACGCATGATACAGTTAAAATTGTATCTTGGAGTACCCAAAGACATGTCAACAAAAGACGAAAGAACCGTCTTTGAAGATGCCAAGAAAGAACTGCAAGAAAAGTTTCTATACAAGAGATTTCTCATCACCGCTAAAACCAGGATATGGCGTTTGGCCAGTTCAGCACCAATCATTTGGCTCGGTGGCATCGATGGAGATTGGTCTATCGCACTGACTTGGCTTGGTTTCTGGAAGCGGCAGGACTCGTTGAGGGGCAGTCAAAGTATGTCAAAAACGATTTGGCCTTTCAGAAATTGCTACAGATTGTAAGCAAAAGTGAATTTCTTAAAAATCTACGATTACGACGAGAGTTGTCACCACTCTTTGGTTGGTTGACAGTTATCACCACTCTTTCATAAAAAGCGGGCTTGGTAAAATGCCTCTTGTAGTCGCCAATGTAACAACCATCTGTGGGGCGACTAGACTTGAAATTATACGCGTAACCATGTTTCCATTAGTCTCTCAACCCTCTTACTGCAATTGTTTTCTGTCAGTTTGCTTGCGGTCTGCAGAAAGCTTCTGACCGAGGTATCTGCACATTGGTCAGTCAATATATAGCTACTGGAATTCACTACGTTCATGAGAACAAGTACACGAGTGATTCCGAACAGGATCAAGAAAACGGGTTGGCGAGTCTACTGACGTACAAAACGCGTGTTCCAGCTCTGATACGCACTGATGCACTTCCAAAAACCTAAAAACGTGATTTCAAATCTCCAGCACAGAATATCCTTCGAGAGAAGAAGCTCTAAACGACAATGACACAACGTTCAGCGATAGTCACTGGCAGGTAACGTTGTCATTCTTTTCTTTCCGCATCACCTGTATAAATTCCACCAAACCCACCAAATCTTAAACTAACTGAAAAATCCACCTCCACAGTTCTAACGGTGGTATAGGCGCCAGCATCTGCCAGTATCTTGCCAATGAAGGCTACATCGTTTACGCTACGGCGCGTAATGTTGAGAAGATGAGCAAGCTTACTCATCCCAACATTGTCAAGGTGCAGCTAGAGGTAAACGATGCAAAGAGTATTGCTGCTGCAATCAAGACCATTACTGCTAAATCGCCTGTGATTGATGTTTTGGTTAATAATGGTGAGTGTTTGGTGCTGGTTGTTTGTGTTTGGTTTTGGGTATTGGGGATTTTGTGTTGGTGTGAACTCTGAATATTATCCTGAACTCTGAATATCATCTCGTCTGAATGTTATCTCATGAGCGTATTTCTTTTGCTGGTGTAGCTGGTATTCCAGGTATGAAACTTGCACAATCTTGCTATGATGGTTGATCACGAAGAATGATCTGGCATGAAAATTTCCACAACCTTGGTATGACGGTCGATCATGACATATGACCTTGTTAGCTCCCCGTGGACCTCTTATGGACATGGATTTACAAAAGGCCAAGCTCGTATTTGACACGAACTATTTCTCAGTTCTTGCAATAACCCAAGCTTGTGCCCGGTAAGTTTGATGCTAATCCTAAGCAAATCTTCGAACTCATATGCTCCAAATATAGGCACATGAAGAAGGGAAGCAAGGTCATCAACATCGGATCCATAGCCGGCTACTTCACCCTTCCTTTGGGCGGAATCTACTCTAGCTCAAAGAGTGCATTGCACTCTTTAACTTATGGTCTGCGATTGGAGTTGGAACCGTTAGGGATCGATGTAGTTCTTATTGCTCCGGGTGTGTGCTAGTTTCATCTCAGAGCTCAGTTATAGTCTTCTTACAATCTCAATGTACAAACAGGTGCAGTACAGTCAGAGATTGGCACCAAAGCAGAACCATACAATCTGCCTGCAAACTCTTTATATGCCAAACTACCATTCTTTGCAAAGTGGTTTGCAAATACTAATATGTCGCCAACGGCAAGTGTTAAAGCTGAGGATACCGATACGTTTGTTAAGATGGCTATGAGGAAGGCTTTGGCTGTTCCGTCTCCTGTTTCTGGTGAGATCGCTTTGAGATTTGTTGAGGCCGGCTCAGTCTGATCAAACTAATTGGTATTGTTTTTAGTTGTTGGTGGTGGTGGTAGTTCGATTGCTTGGTGGTTGACATGTCTACCAGTAACATTTGTCTTGTTTTGTGCACGCCAAGTACACAAATGGCCTACATACAAGCAGGTGCATGCCGCCTAAACGAGGTTGTCATCCGAGACCTCTTAGAGATTGAGGGAAACTCTTAGCAAGGAGCAAAACCAAATGTTGTTAACAGGAAGGGAATCAGATGATTGTACAATAAGATGCAAATTATATTTTCACTCTTGTGGTGAATCATGTATCACAAATGACTTATGATTGTTGCGTTCGTGACATATCTATTGTGTTATGCTAATGGTTTCTTACTTCTCTCAAACATTACAAGGCCATTCGCATCACACGATGCATGTCCATATGCCTTGATCTCATCGACGAGATTACGAGCCTGCTGTTTATCTTGCCGTAGTCCAATACTAAAGCTATCCATATGCGGACACGAAGCTACTATGTGTTGAATCAAGTCTATACTATAAAAGTTGGGCTTTTCGAGATGGAGGTGTTTGAGAGACTTGGTCTCTGTGACGAGGTTTATAAAGTCGGTTTCGGTTACTACAGACTGGTCTACGGGTGAGAATTCCAGTTCCAGTCGTTTGAGTGATGGGAGAGCTGAGAGTGTTTGGAGTCCATGAGCATTTAATGCGCTTCCAACAATCCCTAGATATGTTATACGGTGCTGGTATCTCACGATCTGTCCTATATGTGCTGGTGTGAGCGGCTGTACACCACGATACGACAGTTCTCGTAACTGATCTGGAGCCTTAGCGAGACACGATACCAACTCATCGTTCGACACCCCCATTATAGCATTCAAATGCAGATTTCGTATCTTTTTGCCCTTTTCAAGCACATGTGCTAGCACCCCAGCATCCATATAAAAGAAAGCGACATCTAGTCTGACGAGGTTTTTACAATTCGTGATTAAGTTCCGTAGTGATGGTGTTGGATTATATGAATTCCAGACTTGGAGAGCTTCAAGACCTGGTATGGACGATGCAAGAGCGTCAAAGGGGAATGGGGATGGTGATGAGGAGCCGATTGTTGCGTCTGGGAAGCCAAAGAAGAGGCCTATGGAAGCTAGGTTTGGGAAGAATGGTGCTATACTGTTTATGAGGTTCATGTTGATTTCTAGATCTGTTGGATCGTAGTCGCCCTACGTTAACACAAGGTTGGTTTAGTTATACAGTCTTCAACCAAGTAGAGACAGAGATTCAACCACAAAGGCAAAATCAATGATTTTACCGCTACACGTTCGGCTATCACGACGATTCCCCAACAAAGATTCGACCACATCGACAAATTAAAACAGGACTAGATGAAGTCTTTCAAACACGCACCATAGTAGGATTGAATTCATAAAGTGACATTTCCTTGACATAGGATCCATAAGGAAACGTGGCTTTGCCTCCTTTCTTCAAGCAACGCGTCAGAGCATTGATCTGTCTCTTGCCTCGTAATGCGACGTGATGCCACAACGACTTGATGGTTGAGGCGGCAAATGACTTGTTGATTAATATCATTGAATACACGTCCGAAGACGGTAATTCATTTGCGATACGTTTTAGAGCTGCTTCTGGTAGCGACATGTTCATTCTTTGTCCACCTTTTTGAAACACACACACAACTTGTGAGCGAAATATAAAGAAGAAGAGAGTTCCAAGATGGCCACAGTGAAGACTCCGGCTTCGATAAGATACTCTATAGGATCTGCTCAAGGCACTTATGGTCGACTGGTATTCACTTCCAAAGCGAGTCTAAGGTAATTTTCATAATATTTGGGTTTGTTGGTTGATGCAGATGCTGACTGCTCATGACCAGTTCAGAACCGTTCAGAAGTACAATCATTATCTTTACATGTATATCTAACTGATCTCATATAGAACTCACGGCTTCGATACTCCAGAATGTCTGTTTGGACGGTAATTATTCAAAGACAAAACATTTGAAATTCTGATGTTGATTTAATTACAACCCCTTGTACAGAGAAGAGTGCTGCGATGTGAGAATCTGCAAGCCTGAAGTATCAAGAAAGCACTGTCGAATTACTTTTGAACATGATGGCAAGGTAAAATGAACTTCTTCACATGTGCTGCTGTTTGCCACCTTATCGTTTCAGAACTAGTGTATGTATACAATGGATGCTGATATCTATTCTGTTGACAACTAGGCCTATATTGAAAACATTAGCAAGAATGCATGGACCGAAGTCAACAACCGCTTCATCGGAACCATGGTTGGAACTGAAGAAAGCCATACTTACGTCAACACACGTACCCTACTACACCACGGCGACGAAATCAAGATATGTGGTCGCCCGTTCCGCTTCGAATACCCAATCTCCAAGGTGTGTAAACCATGACCTCTTTGCTTTTCTTGCTAGTTTGACTCTTGAACAAGTGCAAAAAGAAGTAACTTGCCTACTTTCTATTAGGATACCGTCTTGCAACCCTCCACTACAAATATCGCTATACCAATATCGGAAGGTATCAAGTCTTCTGCTCATCGAAGACGATCTAAATCAGTAGATCCGGCTGAAAAAGCAGCTCGTAAAACCAATCCACGTCGATCAAATTCGGTAGGCCCCACCACTCGACGTTCTTCCATCAAACCCGCATCATCATCAAAAGCCGATATAAGCATGGACAGCACTGCCAGTCTCTTCGCAAATAGTCAAACTGCAGCAGATGCTTTGACGATCATGGACGAAGATCAACCCGATGCTCTAAATGATCTAAGTACAGATTGCTTGGTGTTGGTTGATGGGGTGGTATGTGAAGGATTAGATCCAGCTGATCAGAATATGCAAGTTGATGAACAAGTGTTGCAGATTCTAAACGAGTCTGAAACATTGGACGATATGCTTGAGTCCTTGACTGGTATACCGGATGATCAACAAACACAGCCGGGATTGATGAATGCTGGCTCTGGTAATGCGTCTAGTGATCTCGCTCCAGCTGCTGAAAAGTCATTAAAAGATGGTGAAATGGAAGTTGATCCTTCTAACTCGCAGTCAGTCTATGAATCAATATATCCTAGTCTAGATATAGAAGAATCTGTTGAAGCCAAACAAGTTGAGCCCGTCGCTGGTACTTCGCTTGATTATAGTGCTGGTACCACAACGCCCATCAAATCAAGACGATCTAGCTTCTTCACCCGAAAGACTGAACAGAAACCCAGTGCTCGATACATGCAAGAGACTCTAGCAAGTGCATCACGAGCTGCTGCAGTCGCTGATGAAGCTATTAGTAAAGGTCATGCTACTCCACGTCGTAAATCCATGGCTCCAAACACTCGTCAACAAAGCACCAATCGTTTACGAATCAGTAGTATTTCCGCTACTCCTGTCTTCTCTAGTCGAATACCTGCTCCTCATGGCGCAGCATTCCGTACTCCAGCGACCGCTAGTAAAACTCCTTTAAGTAAAGCTGGAACGGTTGTAAGCAAGTTGATTGAAAGCCAATTGGACTTGTTCCAAGGTACGGCTCTGCCGCGACCTTTGGACTTGACCAACGAAGCAATAGTACAGGATGACAATATGACAGCAGGTGGTGAACAAACGGCCCTTGGGGAAGAAACGATTGCTACCACGAATATTACTACGACTACTACTACTACGACTACAGCTGTAGAGACCACAGTAATCGCCGATAGTCTAGTAAAGAATAGAAGCCCAGCTGCTCAAGTGGACGCCGAGGAATCAACCATCGACTACCTTGTAACAAGTGGAGAGCCCGTCGTAGCTGGGCGACTATACCCCACGTTTGACGATACCGCTTTCGCACCTGCTGCTGAGACTCTAGATGAATCTGCAGCAACAGAAGAAGCGAAATCTGTAGAAATGGAAGAAGGTGAAGTTCCACTTGTCAGTAGTGGTGGTCCACCTCCTAGCACTATCCCAGAAATGACTCCAGGAGCTCTACGTCGTAAAACTGGGGTTACATTTGCTCCTCCGGTGCGTCCTCATACTTTTGCAGATCTTTTCCCCCTTTTACCAAGGTACTGACAGTTCTTCCTCGTTAGGTATCTCCTGAAATAATTGATGCGTCACATCCACCAGACTCACCTGTAGTACGTGGTCGTCGAGTAAACACTCCTTCTCGATCTTCTCTTGGTATCTCTATATTGAGATCCTCGGCCAAGAAACGATATTCTGAAGGTGCTGCATTATCTGAAGATGCCATCCTATTCTCAGGAATGGAACCAACACCACCAATACGAGCTACAGCAAGTCAAGACGTGCCGTCTATAAACAGAGATATGATGTTGGATGGTGTACGAGAAATGCTCCAAACTCCTCGACGAATGAGTGAACCACTCTTCGCTGGAGTAAAAGAAGTCTTAAAGACTCCCAATGATGCACCCGAAGTAGATTTTACTGGGTTGAGAGAAATGGTCAAGACTCCACGAGAATCTGGTGACGTAAATCTAGTAGGAATTAGAGAAATGGTCAGGACCCCTGCAGGTGCTTCTGTTGAGCCCAACCTGACTGGAATCAAGGAAATGCTTACTACTCCATCAAAGCTTGTCGATGATGAATCAAATCTCGCTGGAATTGATGTGTTGATGAAGACTCCGAAAGTACTGGAAACCACTCGTGTAACTCGATCTAGTACTCCTAAAGTCACTGGTACTCCCAAGGCCACAGCAGCAGTGGAATCTCCTGCTCCATTGGAAGTCAATATGGTAGAATCCATCGCAACCAGTACACCTATAAAGAGTGCTCCTTCATCTAGCAAAAGATCGGTCACCAAGTTTGCAGCACGTAGTACTACTCCTCGCTCTGTATCCAAGGGGAAGGTTGCAGTCGAGGATATTATTGCAGCGCCCGTCACGAATGGCGTTGCCATGGACTTGGACGAAGCTCGACCAGAAGAAACTCGCGCAGAAGACCACGAAGTCGAGAATCGTAGTAGTCAATCCAAGTCAGAGAGTACCGGCGGTAGTCAACCCAAGCAGCAATTGGTTGTTGGTGCTTCTGAAGAAGAAGACAATGTCGATATCTCTATGGACGTTAACGGGCCTAGTAGCACCCCACCACCTGCTCAACCAAAGGCTGCTAATAAACGACACACGAATCTGGTTGGAGTTAGAGAGATGCTCAGCACTCCATCTTCAACACCGTCAGCAGAGCCTGACTATTCTGGACTCAAACAACTCGTAAAGACCCCTAAAACTGTCAGTAGTAATTTAGGTGGTGTTGGTGATATGTTTAGATCTCCCGAACCTAGTCGTGCAAAAGTAGGAATAGTAGATATTCACGCTGGAGAATTATTAGAAGAAAACGATGAAGCAGACAACGTTGCTCCAGACGCTACCAATGTTGAAGCTGCTACGACAAAGGTTGCTAGTCAAAGCACTCCTAGTCAAAGGACCCCAAACAATGGTGCAACTTCCGTAAAACTATCATCAACAAGGCAGACTCCACGTCGTACAACTCCTAAAGTAGAAGAAGAAGAAGTAGACGAGTTGGAGGATGATATTCAAGTTGCTGGCACTATTGGAGCTATTGAAGCTGATGGAGTTGAAAAAGCTGATGAAATTGAAGCTGATGAAATTCAAGCTGATGTTGAAGTCGAAGTGGCTCCTACAAAGGTCGCTAGTCGCAGGACTCCTAGTCAAAGGACTCCAAAAGCATCATCAACAAGACAGACACCTCGAGGCAATACTCCTCGAGCAGAAGCTGGATTCTTTAGTCCTAAAGGAAAAAAATCCAGTGTACGTAAATCTGTCGCTTCGTCATCAGCCTCTAAAGGTACTCCAGTAGCACCTGCTGCCGAAGATATGTTCGTCAAAGCAACAGTAACGCCATTCGTAAATGATGATAAAGCAAACCCATTCATGGATGATAAAGTATATACTACATCTAGACCATCTATCATACGTAAATCCATTGCTACAACGTCAGCCGCCAAAGGTACTCCGGTAGCTGTTGAATCAGCCAAATCAGCAGCAACACCTCTCGTTAATTACGATCAAGTAGCTAGTCCAGCTGTCAGTGCCAAAGTAGCAACTCCATCTGGACAACTAAGTTTGCGCAAATCTAAAGCTTCGTCATCTGCTGTCAAGGTTGCTCCGGTAGCAACTGCTGCTGAGGTATCAGTCAAGGTAGCAGTAACACCGCTCCTAGATGATAAAGCAGCTACTGCATCTATGAGTGCCAAGAAATCAACAGCTCTGTTTGTGAACGACGACAAAGCAAATCCCTTCGTGGATGATAAATTAGCAACTCCACACCCAAGCAGCAAAGTCGTAGCTCCACCTGTGAGTGCCAAGACAGTAACACACTCTGCAAGTGCTCAAGTAGCAACACCATCCGAGAACGCCAAGCCCGCTACTCCAGTCGCAAAGGATGATATAGGAATGAATCATACGGCTACTCCATTGGCAAGTGCTGAAGTAGCACCTCCATCTGTGGGTGCTAAGGCAGTAACTACATCTGTGCGTGCTAAGAAATCAGCAACTCCTAAAGTGGTTGATGCACCCAAGGTTGTTGATGAGATTGTGGTAGTTGCGGGAACTAGTAGTGCCGATGCTGAGCCAGTTGAGAAGTTTATCGTTCCAGAACCTCAACCTGTCGAAAAAGAGAAGGCAGACATTGAAGACAGTACTGCCAAATCCAATGTAGAAGAAGACCCAGAAGAAGGCAAGGATGTAGTAAGGCCCACCCAAACAACTCGCCGTCGAGCTGCTCCTGCAGCTGCTAGAAAGAAGACACCAGCAGCCCCAAGGTTACGGGCCAAGGCAAAAGTCACGGATGAGAATGAAGTCAAGGATGTCATTGAGAAGCCTTCCTCGTCTTCAGAGTCGGTATCTATAGCTGAGGTTGCAGGTGAAGAACCTGTAAAGAAGCCACGAAAGAAGGCAGCTGCAATCTCAAAGGCTGCCAAAGGCAAATCGAAGGCTATTGAAATTTATGACGACGATGAAGTCGACCCTACACCTGAACAGCCAACCGAGTCTACAATAAGAGATAAAGGAGACGACGTCAAAGAAGCTGTAAAAGCAGCTAAAAAGACAACCAGGTCTACTCGTAGTCGTAAGGTTGATGAAGACATAGTGGAAGTCACTACCGAAGCAGCCGAGACTCTTCCAAAAACTCGTAAGCGTCGTGCAGAATATACAGCTCAACCCACAACGGCTCCCGAAGTGGTCGAAATGGCTCCTCCGCCTAGATCCAAGAGAGCAAACCGCAACAAACCAGCAACAGCATTGGAATCTGAAAATGTTATTATCCAACCACCACCAGCGGCAGCAAAAGCCCAACGTGGAGTAAAGGCTCAACCACTTGAAACCATTATTGAAGCAACAGCCGCTCCAAAAGCCAAACCTGCAGTAAAAGCTCAACCACTTGAACCCATTATTGAAGTACCAGTCGCTGCCAACAACACCAGCAAGCGTACATCAGCCAGTAAAAAACGAGGAGCAGCCGCTGTTGTTGAAACTGAAGAGATAGAAATACCAGTTGCTAAGAAGACTCGTCGAACAGCTGCTAGTAAGAAGGTCGTTGCAGAAGAAGTAGAAGAAGAAGGAGACGAAGCACCTGTACCAGAGCCGCCAGGTCGTCGTGCTACTCGTCGTGGTGCCAAAGCAAAAAACGAACCAATAGTAATGGCACCTGTTGAAGTAGAAGCTGTCCCTAAACGTACGCTACGAACTAGAGCTAAAGTAGCCAAGTAAGGTTTGGTGGTGGTGTTACAGTGAATCTCAGGAAGCTTGTGGGGGCGTATGTTTATAAAAAGAAATTGAAGGAGAGGGAAAAAGTTTTGAACATGCTGTATATTGATATTGTAGTTTGAAGAAGACCAAAGAAGGCGTCGTGCTTGTATTTTCTTTACCATAACAGAGGACTATTCGTGTGTGAGATGGAACTGTGTTTTGCTTTGTGAAACTTGAACTTTATTTTAATGTTGAGGATGTGTCATGGCATCTTACGTCTGAACCTATTAACGTTCTCGATTTCGCATTCTGATATAGATTGCGCCTTTGGATGCTTACACGGGATGAGGGGAATGTATCTTCATCAGCCTAAAAGGTTGTTCTGCTCCTGGATGCGGGGAAATAAGCTTGATAAACGAAGCATGCAAACTTGAAACTTCAATGAATCAAAAGTTTTGCTTACTTCAGGGAGGTCAGAACGCGTAATTGAGCAGCCCGAAAACCTACAAAGGATTCGAATATTGAGAACAGCGTTGGAGTCCATTCATTACTACTTCCCTACACTTATTGCAATTCCGCCTTCCACTTCCCAAAACCGCCTTCCAAAACTGAGCAGCAAGTGCAAACATCCAACATAGGACTCTTACCTGCATGTGTAGGAGCCACTCGTCAATGAGCTTATAACAAACGGCATAATTTTCCATCCTTGCACGAAAAGACCTTGTAGGAGTCCCTTTCTCTCATGCCATCCCGCCGCCTTCACAGTATGTGAATGCATCTCGTTGTTTGGGGGAGGTCTAGAAGGTAGTGCGCGGTGTCTTAATGGCTTACAAGACCAAGATACACTAGGTATCGAGTGTCCTTGAGCACTATCCCGACATTGTTTTGCGTTGTCTATCTCGAGGGAAGGAAGTAGAGCTACTACGTCTCTTTTGTCGACATGCAAGTGTTGTTGTCGAGGAGGATTTGAGCAATAAAGAGGCAGCTTAAAGATATGGAATAGTGAAAAATTGAGTTTGTGAATATGGTACTTGCTGCTGTGTGCATACCTTCCAGACATTGCCTGCTTCTAATTGGAATATGTGTGCAAACATAGAGCGAGCGAGTGAGGAAGGTGGCATTACACCGTTTGAGGCGCGTAGAAAGTGAATACTACTCTACTGGTTTTCATATTGAGAATAGAAAATACGACTTCAAGTGACGGATATTAACATAGCGAAGCCTTGTTAACAGACACAAGTGGTAAGTGATTTCATTACTATGCAGTCAGCAGATAACAAAATGTATCATATCAACTGGTGGTTGGTCGTAATTTAAGATCTTGCTGAAAGGGTTCAAACCTTCAGCTTGCCCCATAAACGAGGATCAAATCTTCCAACTTTTGGTTTCTGACGCGTGTTTTGAAGTTTCCAAAGTCATTATGAATTATGAGATGAAAGTACAATGATGTGCATTGTAGTAATATCACGTCTTTTTGCTGATTGTTGTATGTGCGTGCCTTTGATGCCGAAACTGAATTAGCTAAACGTTAGCTATTGCTGAGCACCCTATAAATATGGCAGAAGGGCAGGATCTTGGTATCTCGTACGATGGTGAGGTCTTTCTGGATGCTATCGAGGAGAGGCTGGTTCCCAATCACCGATATTGAAGATTAGTGGGTTTCGTGGACTGGAAGTCTCTCGAGATCTAGTGGTACGTCTTCTTGGTCAAGCAGACGCTTCTGATCAGAACGACATGACTGGGCTAGCTCAAAAATAAAGGTCGCTGTAAAAGGTCTTGTTTCCTTTGGTCATCTACATATTACGAAGCAAGCTGAAGTTGGCATTTGAAGCACCAAGCACCATAATGGATTAGTAAGCACGATGCCAATTAGAGGTCAATTGGTCGTTTTTTACTTCGTAAATATAAACATTAGTCTCCATTCATCCATCGTCATTGTACATAATGGATTCACGGTGTGAGGAGAGTTACAACGATGAGGAGGACGACATTGTATCGAGGAAAGGAAGCTGTCTACCGCACATTTTTCATGAAAGTTGGCCGTGTCATCTTTCGATTCTTTCGATTCCCGACTTTCCGACGACTGACAATCTCAACAGTAGATAGCTGCGACATTTTACGCGTCACTTTACAATAGAAATAACGCAAATAGCAAATATATTGAAAGTTGAAAGTTCCATATAACGCGTCTTGTGGCTGAAGAATGTACTGAAAATGTTCAGTTTCACATTGCATGAATGTTGAACGTGTTTCTTCAAAAACCTTCAAAATAAACTTTGAGGAGACAACCAGTTGTAAAGACCAGAACGAGTGCCATTCCCACACTCGCAACGGTTGAAAGTATATACAGACCCATCAGATCTAGTGAGATCTATTACACACGTCTCTCTGCCATTCTCTTTGTTTAAGACAACCAACATTGCAAGTAAACAAGTAGGCAACGATGGCAGACAGGAATGCTGCTACTGCCAAATCAAGTCGTGATTTATTCACATCCTCTGCCAATCTTGGCACACATGAGGAGTCCAAAAAGAAGGCTGCCCTGGCTGCTGCTGTCGAGAAGAAGAGAGCATCTCTTGATGCGCGCCACCGATATCTATTAGAAAAGTTCTCGGCTTTCTGTGATGTTAAAATCGCAGACCTGGAAAACAGTCTATTATTGGGTGCCAAGTTGGATATTCTGAATGACTTTTTGAACGAGGGTGGAAGTCGCAAGGTTTTGTTTTTTTGGCAACCTCCACCACTTGGAAAGGTAAAAAGGATGGAACGGGTTGTTCTTTCTTCCCTTTAAATACGAAATCAAGTATATCGTGCTTGTACTTACATGTAAATGCCGTCGGTAGGGTGAAGATGCTACAACCCTACCGAAAGGTGCTGCTCGAACACCACAACTTATAGTCACCAATGGAACCAAGGACGGTTTAAACGGTCCTGGATGCTACTTTATACGGCCAAACACCAAGGCCATCACTCTACAATCTATATATACAGATGTCGCATTTGGTCCACTATCCGCTTCCATACTACCATCACTCACAACCGTGGTCAAACATGTCGTTATGCCGGCACTCAAGGCTCAGGTAAGCGATAGTATTACGTTGGACACGAGAAACGGTACGCGTTCTTATACGTCTTTGCATCGTAGGAGAGTTGGGGTGTCTTATCACGATCAAAAGACGAATCCGTCCGCACTTTTATGGAAGTGTTGGAACGCTTTGTTACGGATTTGGATGTAGCTATGATCAATCTCCATGATTCGGTTCAACTCAACCCATGTAGTGTTGATTTGGCTGCGTACAGTAAACCTGGAGACTATGGAAATGCCACGCACGATCCAGAGCTCGTTGGTGGTCTCGAAGGTAACAAAGAATAGCCAATATTCGACGGGTGCATTACAAACTGTCATATACGAAGACTCACACTCGGCGACTTTTTTTTGCCTAGGTCTTGTCACTGAATGGTGCAAGCAAATCGAGCAGGTTTTGACTGAATCCGAACAAATGCGAAAGGAAGCCGACGATATTGGTCCTAACGCTGAATTGGCCCATTGGAAGGCCCGAATGATTAAATTTAATTCCATTACCGACCAGCTGAAATCCCCACAGTGTCAAAAAGTGGTCGGAATCCTCACAGCTATTAAATCCAAGGCTCTGCTCAAGACCTGGAAGGATTTAGATAATCGAGTCACGGATGCGGCCAATGAGTCCAAGGTATGCTGCGGTTGATGTAGATTTTTTTTGTGAGACGTGACGTGGTGCTTCAAGCGCATTCTGAGCTCAAACGCAATCATCTTACAGGACAATGTCAAGTATTTGTACACCTTGGAACGATTCTGTGATCCTCTATACAGCAGTGATCCAGTCGGCATGATCCCTGCCATACCTGGTCTCATAAACGCCATCAAGATGATTTACTCCATCTCCCGATATTACAACACATCTGAACGAATGACTTCACTCTTTGTCAAAATCACCAATCAAATGATTACCAGCTGTAAAGAGTATATCTACAAGGAAGTTGGCACCAAACTTTGGGATCAAGATCGTGCTCAGCTTGTTCGTAAGCTGACGGAATGTGTCAAGCTGAACGAGGCCTACCAGAATTGCTTCCATGAGACCAAGGTATGAAAGACTGTTCGTTTGAAGAATCAGCCTCTAGTATGTTCAACGCGTGAGCTCAAACGAATCGTCTTTCATTAGAGGAAACTTCAAGAGACTCCATCCGAAAAGCAGTTCGACTTTTCGGAAATGTATATATTCGGCAAGTTTGATGCTTTCTGTAAACGTATTCAAAAAGTAGTAGATATGTTTGGTATCATGGAGAAGTTCTCCACTTTGGAAAGGCTGGGTGTCGAAGGCATGGACACCATCTCCAAACGCTTTAGCAACATCATGTCAAATATGCAGCGCAAGCCATATGACCTGTTAGATCATCGAAAGATGGTATGTTTTGTACTCATTTTTGTGGATCTTGGTGACATCAGTCATATGAAGAGCTCACTGTGATCATGCTCTTAGGAATACGACTCAGATTACAACGTATTCAAGAAACAAATCTCGGATTTGGAAAGCGATTTGCAACGATTTATCGACTCATCATTCGACCACATATCGAGCACGGAGCAATCTCTTGCTCTTCTATCTAAATTCGGCCAGATCCGTGGTATGCAACTGGATCTCGAGTCGAAATACCAAGCCGTATTTGTCCACTACACTCGCCGAGATTTGGAAGGTGTCCGTAAATTATACCAACGATGCAAGGACTCTCCACCAATACCGCGTAATACACCACCAGTGTCTGGTGCCATAGCCTGGGCTCGACAACTGTATCGCCGTATCGAAAACCCAATGAAGCACTTCAAGGCGTTCACCCACGTCTTGGAGACTGCCGAAGCAAAGAAGCACATCCGAAACTATAATCGTTTGGCTCGTGCTTTAATCGAATTTGAATTACTCTGGTATAGGTCTTGGTATTCCATAGTAGACCAGGCTAAAACAGGATTGCAGGCAACCCTCTTTGTCGCTGATCCAGAAGGTAATCTATATGTAAACTTTGATCCCCAGATTGGCCAGCTTATCCGAGAAACGAGGTGTATGCAGAGGCTTGGATTGGAAGTGCCCGACGCTGTTCGTGGTGTCTGTCTCAAGCAAATGTACTACAAGTCTCTATCAAACACTCTTCAGCATATACTTCAACGTAAACGGGCCGTCTTGGAACGTGTATCTACCATACTTCGAAAAGCTATGGGACCACATATAGACCAACTCGATCGTACTCTTCAGCCTGGTCTTACGGCACTGACATGGACGTCAGTCAATCTGGACCACTATGTCAACAACAATCTCGCGCAGTTAGCCAAGATTGAAGAATTGGTTGACAAGTTACTGGATATAGTAGAGTGCCGTATAGAAGCCGGAGTTCGCAAGATTGCTGAGATGCAGTTATGTGAAGTGCCTCTCGAAACTGAGCAATGGACTGTAGATGTGTTTACGGAACGCACAGAGAAGCGATGTGCTGCTGTGTCGTCTCAAATAGTAACCAGATCCAACTTGATTGAGTCTGCCGCTCGAGACTTGATAACTGAGCTCGGCAAAGGTGCTCCAATGCCATGGCCTCAAGAGTTGAAGCTGGCGTTTGAGGCCGTCTACTTCCGCTTCAACGACCAGAACTTTGAAGCGTTGGCTCAATGCACAAAAGGATCATTAGATTTGCTACGATCACGTATTGGAAACTACACCAGTGCCCAATATAGTAAAACATCTAATCAACGACCCTTCTTTAAGGCCGAACTGGTCTTGATAATACCATCCGTAGTCTTGCAGCCTAAACTGGAAGACATCCAAGGCACTCTAAATCGAGTTGCCAGTATGATTGTAGATGTCTCGAAGAAGCTCCAGCTGAACTGGAGGGTGTTTTTAGATGCTCCAGAAGACGCTGCTGTCGCTCACCATCCAGAAGACACATCTCAGGTCGCCAACAACAAGGATGTGCTCAAGGTCTTGTTGACCTTATCATCTTTACTCAACTCTATGCGTAAAGAGGTCGAAGCCCACCGTGAACAATTTGTAAAATACGACTTTTTATGGCGAGAAGACAAGGCCGAAACAGTCAAGAACTTTTTGGCTGGTAATCCCACTATAGGTGATTTCGAGAATGAAATCAACCGATATGAATACGTTGAAAAGGAGATTGCTGAAATACCGGCTTCAACACAGATTGGATTCTTGCTGATCTCTGCAGACCCATTAAAGACTGCCTTGTTTAGTGAAATCAAGGAGTGGAAGCAATCATATGGTGCTAATCTCAACCGTAAAGTCAAATCCGATATGGAATCGTTAATCGAGTACATGGCTGACAAGACTGTACGATTGTCACGTAAAATATCCGATATTGATGACCTACGAATGGGTGTCCAGACTCTGTCAGAGATACGTGAAGCTGAGGTGGATATTGATATGAAGGTGCAGCCTATAGAGGAGGCTTACCAGCTATTGGCTCGTCAATCCGTGACTGTTACTCGTGAAGAAACGGAAATGGTAGACTCTCTACGATACTCGTGGCGCAAACTCAAGCAGTTGGTCATTGAGGTCCAAGAGAACTTGAATAAAATACAGCCTGTCTTTAAAGCTGATCTCATTGGCTCTGTGCAGCGATTTGCACAAGATGTCAAGGAGTTTACTGCTGACTATAACGAGAATGGTCCTATGGTTGCCAATATCCCACCAAAGACTGCTTCCGAACGACTCAATGTATTCCAACGTGGATTTGATGAACTCAACCGTAAATGGGAAACATATAGTGCTGGAGAAGAGCTCTTCTCGCTACCCGTAACACCCTTCCCGTCATTGGTAAAGATAAAGAAGGAACTCAAGTTGCTCCAAAACTTGTACTCGCTTTATAATGATGTATTAGAGAAACGAGCCATTTATGCTGAAACTCTATGGACGGATGTCGACATTGAAAAGATTAATGCCGATATGGTCGACTTTGGTAACAAGGTGAAAAAGTTACCAAAGGCCATCAAAGATTGGGATGCCTTTATGGAGCTCAAGAATATTATTGATGACTGGACCAACACCGTACCATTATGGGAAATGATGAGACATAAAGCTATGCAGACTCGTCATTGGGATCAGATCATGGCATTGACCAAGACGCAATTCAACTTGGATCCGGAAGTGTTTTACTTGAAACAACTAATGGAAGCCCCACTTCTTGCTCATCGAGAAGATATAGAAGATATATGTACAGCTGCTGTCAAGGAAGCTGATATCGAAGTCAAGTTACGAGCTACAGTAGCTGAATGGGAAGACAAGATCTTCACAATGGGAGCATTCAAGACTCGTGGTAATTTGATCTTGAAACCGTCTGGAACATCTGAAATTATCTCTCAGATGGAGGATTCTCTGATGACGCTGGCGTCACTCATGTCCAACAGATATAATGCTCCATTCAAACCTGAGATCCAGACTTGGGTACACCACTTGTCGACAGCCAGTGAAGTTATAGAGAACTGGTTGGGTGTACAGAATCTGTGGATTTATCTTGAAGCTGTATTCGTTGGTGGTGATATCGCCAAGCAGATGCCAAAGGAAGCCAAACGATTCAGGTATGCGACAGATTGTGGATGCATTTTTTGCACATTATCTCATCGTAAGTTTTAATACTTCTAGCAACATTGACAAATCGTGGTGTAAAATCATGGGTCTTGCCAACGAAGATCCAAATGTAATCAAGCGTTGTGTGTTGGATGAAACCATCGCCAACTTGTTACCGCACTTGACTGAACAGCTGGAACTTTGTCAAAAGTCCCTATCAGGTTATCTAGAATCCAAACGTGCCATATTCCCTCGTTTCTTCTTCGTGTCAGATCCAGCTCTACTTGAAATCTTGGGTCAAGCATCCGACTCTCATACCATTCAAGCACATCTTAAATCCGTGTTTGATAACGTGAATGCTGTTCAATTCCATGAAAAGGAATACGACAAGATAATGGCGCTCGAATCATCTGAAGGCGAACGAGTTGCTCTGTCACGACCGGTTTTAGCTCAAGGAAACGTCGAAACGTGGTTGGGTCTGCTATTGAAGGCTATGCAGGTTTCTATAAATGATGTTATCCGAGAAGCTGCATCACGTATGAATGATATGCCACTACAAAAGTTTTTGGATGACTTCCCAGCTCAAATCGGTTTGCTCTGTCTGCAAATCATGTGGACGCAAATGAGTGAGGAAGCCATTATAGCTTCTAAAACCGATAAAAAACGCATGACTGTCACGAACAACAAAGTTACAGAAATCCTCAACTTGTTGATTGATGTGACGACAAAGGAGCTGTCAAAGATGGATCGAGTAAAATATGAAACGTTTATTACCATCCAAGTTCATCACAAGGACGTGTTTGAAAAGCTATTGAAATCACACGTCAAGGTTACCGATGATTTTGAATGGTTGAAGCAGGCACGATTCTATTGGCAAGAGACCAAGGACTGCTGTGTTGCTTCTATTACCAACTTTGACTTTAGATACCAATGCGAATACTTGGGTTGTACCGATCGTCTAGTCATAACGCCCTTAACAGATCGTTGTTATATTACGCTGGCCCAGGCTCTTGGTATGTCGTTGGGAGGCTCTCCAGCAGGTCCCGCTGGAACTGGTAAAACAGAGTCCGTCAAGGATTTGGGTAAAAACTTGGGTAAATGGGTCGTCGTATTCAATTGCTCTGATCAAATGGATTATCGTGGTCTTGGACGTATCTTCAAAGGTCTTGCACAATCTGGATGTTGGGGTTGTTTCGACGAGTTCAATCGTATTGAACTTCCAGTATTGTCTGTGGCAGCACAACAGATTGGTTGTGTCTTCTCCGCACGTAAAGAACGTAAACCTAGCTTTGTCTTCACTGATGGTGATACTGTAGAGCTCAATCCTGAAGTCGGTATGTTTATTACCATGAATCCCGGTTATGCTGGTCGTGTCGAATTGCCAGAAAACTTGAAGGTACACTTCAGATATGTAGCCATGATGGTGCCGGATCGACAGATTATTATGAGGGTCAAGCTGGCTGGTTGCGGTTTTATAAACAACATCATCCTCGCCAAGAAATTCTTTGTGCTCTACCGACTTTGCGAAGAGCAACTGTCTAAACAGGTTCACTACGATTTCGGTCTCCGTAATATTTTATCAGTATTACGTACCAGTGGATCAGTAAAACGTGGTAACCCAGATCAAGCTGAAAATATTGTCATTATGAGAGTATTGCGTGACATGAACTTGTCGAAATTGGTGGATGAGGACGAAGCACTCTTCTTGTCTCTAGTAAATGACTTGTTCCCTGGTTTGAATGCTGCCAAGGGAAGTTATCCACAGATGGAGCAAGCTGTTGATCAACAACTTGCTGAGGTCAATCTCATCTCACATCCTCCTTGGACACTTAAAGTCATCCAGTTATACGAAACTTGTCGTGTACGTCACGGTCTGATGATTTTGGGACCTACTGGAACTGGAAAGGTAAACTACATCAAAAATTTCAGATCGTCTTGTGTCATAGTCATATAAGCTCATTACGGTTCCTTTTTGTCGCCCTATAGACCAAGTGTATAAACGCTCTACTCAAAGCAAACAGTGCTTGTGGTGATCCACACAAGGAACTACGTATGAATCCCAAAGCTATCACAGATTACCAAATGTTTGGACGTCTCGATGTAGCTACCAACGATTGGACTGATGGTATCTTCTCATCGCTTTGGAGAAAGACATTGAAGAAGAAAGGTGAAACTGTATGGATTATATTGGATGGTCCTGTCGATGCCGTCTGGATTGAAAACTTGAATTCCGTATTGGATGATAACAAGTGTCTGACTCTTGCCAACGGTGATCGTATTCCTATGTCTCCAGCCTGTAAATTGATGTTTGAGGTAGACTCACTTCGTAACGCTTCGCCCGCTACCGTATCACGTTGTGGTATGATCTATATTGGTATCACTGCTTTGACTTGGGATATTGTTCTTCAGTCATGGTTGAAGAGTCGACCACAATCGGAAGTAGGAGTATTAGATAGTTTATTCAAGGACTCGTTCAGCAAGGCTGTGGAGTACTTGATGATTGAACTAAAGCCAAAGATGATCATCCCCAGCACTTCATATTTGACGAATTTGACTGTATTGTTAACTGGTCTGATTCCCAAGGCAGACGCGAACAAGTCTACGGTAGCTGCTGATCACCTCGAACGTTTGTATATCTTCTGTCTCTTCTGGAGTATTGGTGCGCTTCTGGAACTGGATGAACGAAAGAAGCTGCAAGTCTTCATGATGGATAAGGCATCCAACTTGAAATACCCACCATTAGATCCATCGTCAGCCGATACCATATACGAATACTTTGTAAACGAGTCTGGCCAGTGGTCTCATTGGCGAAACAAGGTGCCAAACTGGACATACCCTGCAGATACCACTCCCGAATTTTCGTCTATTATTATCCCAACTGTAGATAACGTGCGACTTGAATTCTTGATGGAGACTGTACTTCGTCAAGGCAAATCAGCTCTTCTTATCGGGGAGCCTGGTACTGCCAAGACCGTCACCATCCGTAAATACTTGGCCAAGTTGAATCCAGACACGCATCTAAACAAGGTCTTGTCCTTCTCTTCTGCTACTACACCCATGATATTCCAACGTACTGTAGAAAGTTACTTGGATAAACGCATGGGTTCAACTTATGGTCCACCAGCTGGAAAGAAGATGATTCTGTTTATTGATGATATCAATATGCCTGAAATCAATGAATGGGGTGACCAAGTCACTGCAGAGCTGCTTCGTCAACTTATGGAATGGCAAGGATTCTACTCCTTGGATCGTCCTGGTATGTTATTCGAATTTGGTAGTTTTGTATGCAAAAAAGAATATTTTCTTGACAATTTTGATTCCAGGTGATTGGACTGGTGTCGTTGACTTACAGTTCAGTGGTGCTATGATGCATCCTGGAGGTGGTCGTAATGATATTCCAGCTCGTCTAAAACGTCAATTCCTAATCTTCAACTGTACCATTCCGTCCGAAGCTTCAGTCGACAAGATTTTCGGCACCATGTTGGAAGGTCACTTTAACGGTGCACGTGGATTCCCTGAAGAAGTAATTCAGATGGCTGCCAAACTCCCTGGATTAACTCGTCGCTTATGGCAAATGACCAAGATAAAGATGTTGCCCACTCCCGCTAAATTCCATTATATTTTCAACTTGCGTGATTTGAGTCGCATTGTTGAGGGTATGTTGGTGTCTAAATCCGAGGTTATCAACAATAGCAAGGTCATGATTAATCTATGGGAGCATGAGTGCTCTCGAGTTATTCCTGATCGATTCGTTAACAGCGACGACACGGATTGGTTTGCCAAGACCATGGTAAATCTAGTACAGAAGGAATTAGGTGATGACTTTGGACAAGCTGTCGCTACAAAGAGCTTGTTTGTCGACTTTTTACGTGACATGCCCGAAAACGACGACCCTGAAGTCGAAATTGATCCCGAAAGTATCAAGGTCTACGAAAAAGTGCCATCATTCGACTTTTTGCGAACCAAGTTGGCCGACTATATGCGCCAATATAATGAAACAGTCCGAGGATCCAAGATGGATTTGGTATTGTTTGAGGACGCTATGAGGCATATTGTCCGTATATCTCGTATAATCCGAACAGCCCGTGGTAATGCTCTTCTAGTCGGTGTTGGAGGATCTGGTAAACAGTCTCTTACCAAGCTGGCTGCATTTATTGCCAAGTCTCAAGTCTTCCAAATTCAGATCTCAAAGAGTTACAATACTACGAATCTGATGGAAGACTTGAAGAATATGTACAAGACCGCTGGTGCATTAGGTAAATCAATGACCTTCATCTTCACCGATAACGAAGTCAAGGATGAAGGCTTCTTGGGTTACATCAACAACATCTTGACATCTGGTGAAGTCACAAATCTGTTTGCAAAGGATGAAATCATATCTATAGGCTCAGATTTACGAGGTGCTTTGAAGAAGGCTCGTCCACAAGTTATAGATACCATTGAAAACTTGTGGGCCTTCTTCATTGATCGTGTCAAGGCCAACCTCCATGTAGTGCTTTGCTTCTCACCTGTCGGTGATAAATTCCGTAACCGATCGTTGAAATTCCCAGGTCTGATCTCTGGTTGTACTATGGATTGGTTTAATCGATGGCCTAATGAAGCGTTGAGAGCTGTAGCTGAGAAATTCTTGGGAGAAGTAGAAATAGTTAGTACCGAACAAGTCAGGAAGGAAGTCGTACACCATATGGCCTTTGTCCACGATCTCGTGGCTGGTGCTTGTGATGCCTACTTTACTCAATTTCGTCGTCGTACCCACGTAACTCCCAAGTCTTACCTGTCCTTCTTGAACTCGTACAAGTCATTGTATACACAGAAACGTAAAGAAGTCGGCATTCTCGCTGATCGTATGAATATGGGTCTGGCCAAGTTAGTAGAAGCATCCAAGGCCGTTGCTGTATTGCAAGATGAATTGGTCGTAAAAGAAAAGGATTTGGCTGTCGCATCTAAGGCCGCTGATGCTGTATTGGCAGATGTAACAGCCTCCACCGCAGCTGCTGAACACGTCAAGGACGCTGTGCTCAAAGTAAAGACCAAGGCCGAAGCTATTGCTAACGCCATTAAAGCCGATAAAACCATCGCTGAAGGTCAATTGGAGGCTGCCAAACCGGCTTTAGAAGAAGCTGCCAATGCTTTGAACTCGATTCAGCCCGGTCATATTGCTACCGTGCGTAAACTGGCCAAACCACCTCACTTGGTTATGCGTATTATGGACGGTGTCATCCTGTTGATGAAACGTAAAATTGATCCAGTCACCCAGGATCCAGAAAGACCATGTTGTAAACCGTCTTGGTCTGAATCTCTCAAGCTCATGTCAGCTTCTGACTTTTTATCGTCGCTCATGAACTTTGGTAAAGATGAAATCAATGGTGAAACTGTCGAATTATTAGAACCATATATTGAAATGCCTGACTTCAACTTGGAGGGCGCAAAGAAGGTGTCTGCTGATGTTGCCGGTCTGACGTCTTGGGTCAGAGCTATGGCCTTCTACTATGGAATCAACAAGCGTGTCATTCCCCTCAAGGCCAACTTGATTATTCAAGTAAGTGATGTAGTTGCTACTTTTGTAAAATAGTTTATTCATTGCATTTTGAAAACACTAGGAATATAAATTGTCGCTTGCTCAAGGCGACTTGAACAAGGCTCAATCGCAGTTGGACGAAAAGCAAGCAGAATTGGATGTATTCCAAGCCAAGTATAATGAAGCTATTGGCAATAAACAAATGCTGCAAGCCAACGCCGATTCTTGTAAACGAAAGATGGTTGCCGCCACCGCTCTCATTACTGGTTTGAAGGGTGAAAAGGATCGATGGACTATTCAGTCGAAAGAGTTCGCTGAAAAGATCCAACGTCTTGTCGGTGATGTCATTCTAGCTGTGGGATTCTTGTCGTACTCTGGTCCATTCAACAACTCCTTCCGAGTGCAGCTCATGAGTGACTGGAAGAAGGAATTAGTACGAAGAAAGATTCCTAATACTGACGATCTGGATATTATTGGGCTATTGGTTGATAACACCACTGTCGGCGAATGGAATATTCAAGGTTTACCCACCGACGAACTGTCAACTCAGAACGGTATTATAGTCACGAAAGGTACGCGATACCCGCTACTCATAGATCCACAGACGCAAGGCAAAGCTTGGATTAAATCTCGTGAAGCCAACAACAAATTGCAAATCACCACTCTGGGACATAAATACTTCCGTCAACACGTAGAAGACTGTATCTCCCAAGGTCGTCCAATTCTGATTGAAGATGTAGAAGAGACGCTGGATCCAACTCTCGACAACATCCTCGAAAAGAACTTGATCAAGGCGGGTCGTGGTTACAAAGTAATTATGGGTGATAAAGAAATCGATTGGATGGACGGCTTCCAAGTCTTTATTACCACGAAATTAGCCAATCCCAACTACACCCCCGAAATCTATGCTAAATGCTCTATTATTGACTTTACTGTAACATCAAAGGGTCTTGAAGAGCAATTGCTGGGTCGTGTCATTATGAGAGAAAAGCAAGAACTCGAAACTGAACGAGCCAAATTGATGGAGGAAGTCAACTCCAATAAAAAGAAGATGAAGAAGCTCGAAGACGACTTGCTCGAGCGTCTTACCTCCACTCAAGGCTCTCTTGTAGATGATGAGTCTCTTATCGAGGTGTTGGCTGTAACCAAGGTCACAGCAGAAGAAGTCAATGAAAAGTTGGTAATTGCTGCTGAGACTCAAAAGAAGATTGGTGTTGCTCGTGAAGAATATAGACCTGTAGCTACTCGAGGTAGTATCATTTACTTCTTGATTGCTGAAATGTCTATGGTCAACCCCATGTATCAAATCTCTCTACGTCAATTCTTGCAACTCTTTGACGAATCTATGGAAAAGAGTGCTCAATCACCCATCCCTAGTAAACGTATCCAGAACATCATCGAATACTGTACCTTCCGGGCCTTTGTATATGTATCTCGTGGTCTTTACGAAATCCATAAAGTCATGTTTGTATTGCTATTGGCACTGAAGATCGACATCCAAGGCAATAAGATCTCGCACGAAGAATTTAGATGCTTCATTAAGGGTGGTGCTGCTCTAGATATCAACGCTGTAGCCAAGAAGCCCTTCAACTGGATTCCCGATATGACATGGTTGAACCTGGTTGCTCTCAGCAAAATGCCAGGTTTAGGAGACGTTCTCAACCAAGTCACAAAGAATGAAAAGGCTTGGAGAGCATGGTATGAAAAGGATGCTCCTGAGAACGATGTGATTCCAGCTGGTTACCATACATCTCTTGATACCTTCCGTCGCCTCTTATTGCTACGATCATGGTGTCTGGATCGATCTGTAATGATGGCCAAGCAGTATATAGCTTCATCGCTTGGTAACAAGTATGCCGAATCTCAGGTCTTGGACTTGGACGTATTATTAAGTGAATCAGATGAACGAACACCCATGATTTGTCTCTTGTCCCAAGGTTCAGATCCATCCGCCGACATAGAAAACTTGTCAAAGAAACACAAGATTGATATTAAAGCTATATCTATGGGTCAAGGTCAGGAAGTCCATGCTCGTAAATTGCTATCTACATTTATGGTACAGGGTGGATGGGCCTTGTTACAGAACTGTCACTTGGGTCTGCCATTCATGGACGAATTGCTAAATACCATAACAGAGACAGAATCAATCTCTGATAAATTCCGTTTATGGATTACCACCGACGTCACCTCTAAATTCCCAATCACCTTCTTGCAAATGTCGATCAAGTTTACCAACGAACCTCCTCAAGGTATAAAGGCAGGTTTGAAACGAACGTATAATTGGTTTACTCAGGATATGCTGGATATGTCAAATCGTCCTCAGTATAAACCACTACTGTACGGACTGGCCTTTTTGCACTCTGTCGTGCAAGAACGACGTAAATTCGGTCCATTGGGCTGGAACATTCCATATGAATTCAACCAGTCTGATTTGGCTGCTTCAGTGCAGTTTGTACAAAACCACGTAGATGAATTGGCTCCTAAAGCTCCCATCTCATGGCAAACAGCTCGATACATGTTCTGTGAGGTGCACTATGGTGGTCGTGTTACTGATGACTTTGATAGGCAAGTGCTGTTGTGTGGATTGACTTGCATTTGTATTCAAATTCTAATATTGAATTTTTTTCGCCCTTTAGACGTCTCCTTACTACTTACGGAAAAGTTTGGTTTGGTGACCATATGTTTGAAGAGACCTTCTGCTTCTACAAGGGATACAACATTCCAAACCTCAAGAGTGTTGACGAGTACAGAGGATCCATTGAGAACTTGCCACTGATTGACACTCCCGACGCATTTGGTCTTCATCCTAATGCTGATATCTCTTGTCAAACCAAGGTGTCTCAAGGAATGCTTGGTAAGTTATTTAAAGAATAAAGCACAGTTATAAGAAAATCTCGCGCCGCCTAACTCATTCAAATGCATTTCCCTTTCCAGACACCATCTTGTCCATTCAACCAAAGGACAGTAACACTGGTTCTGGTGAAACTCGTGAAGACGCAGTGAAACGATTATCCAACGACTTGTTGTCTAAACTACCCGAAGACTTTGACAAGAACAAGACGAGGATCGCTCTTCAAAAGCAGGGTTCTATGAAACCTCTCAGTATCTTCTTGGGCCAAGAAATCGACAGAATGCAAATCGTAATCAGTCTTGTCAGATCCACACTAGTTAACTTGAAGTTGGCTATTGATGGTACCATTATCTTGAATGCTGGACTTCAACAAGCTCTAGATGCTATATACGATGCACGAGTACCAGACTCATGGGCCAAAGTATCTTGGCAATCATCAACCTTTGGTCTATGGTTTTCGGAATTGCTTAATCGAGTGGTACAATTCCAGACATGGTTGGCTGAAGGTCGACCCAATGTCTTCTGGTTGCCTGGATTTTTCAATCCTCAAGGTTTCTTGACTGCCATCAGACAAGAAATTACTCGTGCTCACAGTGCACAAGGTTGGGCTTTGGATAACGTCAGAGTATGTGGTCGATTGAAAAGATATGCAACGCCAGTGGCTAGACTTAACAAGTTATTGTTTTTTTAGCTCACATCTGAAGTCATGAAACAAATGAAGGAAGACATAACAGCACCACCTAGCGAAGGTGTTTACATTTATGGTCTCTTCATTGAAGGTGCTGGATGGGATCGAAAGAATATTCGATTGACAGAATCGCAGCCCAAAGTCATTTATCAAGCCATGCCCGTCATTCATATCAGTGCTATTAACTCGAATGATGATCCTGATCCTAAATTGTACAGATGTCCTGTGTACAAGAGGTATTAAAAGTCGAAGAATGTTCGAAACGATGTCTCAATTGTATTGACCTTCTTTCTAATACCACTTCTAGACCAAGACGAACAGATTTGAACTACATCTTTGATGTTGAACTCAAGACCAATACAAACCCAGACTATTGGATTTTGCGTGGTGTTGCTCTCCTGTAAGTTCAAGAACCTATCATCTTGGGGTTGCTCCAACGTTTTGCTGACCAAGACTTCTCCCTTCTTTAGTTGCGCCACTTCTTAAATAATGTACATGCTTTTACTTTTCGCCTGTAAATTAATGTTGTAAACATCCATAATATATAGTTGGTTGAGCAAAACTCTCTCGTGTAAGACTCTTAAAATCTGACCCAATCCAAATGAGACTAGTTCTCACACTGTAAACATGTCCAGAACTTGCAGAATTTCGGACCTCCGAAATTGATTTTCCGAAAGGCGTATATGCGTGTTGAGGTGGTTGAATACAAACAGCGCGTGTGCCTTTTCGCCAAAACAAGACTCGACACGCACAAGCAAACTTCGCAAATCAAATTCGGAGCAGGATCATCTCGTGATGACAGCTCTATGCATATCCGGTGACTGAAGCTGGTGGCTCTACAAGATCTCTAAGAGCAAGCTTACCAGCTATCGGGAGAGCTGTTAAGAGTCAGTTTTTCTCACATGAACTGCTGTATATTTTACCTTTCTTGTTTTTTGCGTCTCATCTTGCAACAATAGCTGTCATAAAATTCTCAAAAACTTTAGGGATCATTGATTCATCGTTAATTGACTCTGACATGACCTCCAAGAAGTCCTATTTACACAGTTTGCTTCAGTATTTGATTTCACGTCCTATTTAAACCCACATCACCTTCATTGGGAGAGGCGAGTAACCGCAGCGGGTCTTTTCAGATATAATTGCTTCGAATGTAAGTAGTTGACGTGGCAGAGCGTTAACTTTGTGTCTTTTGGCGTTCGATTTTGTCGACTTTGTGGGATTTCTGACGATATTAACTTGGACACTCAGCAGAAACTGCATAAGCGAGCACGCAGGTATTATTCCCAGGTCCTCTTAGAATCGGTACTCGTTCGACGCGCTGACCTGGCCAAATGAGCTTACAACACGAACACTTTTTGAAAAGAACAGTCAAGTTTTGTCAACCTTACGTTCTATCTACCTTTTACGCACTCAATCGACGCTGCGGCAAGTGAAAAGAATTCAGATTTCCTTTACTTTGGTAAGTTGTTATGTAGTTGGTAGTCTTGTTCGCGTTTTCGTAAAAGGGCGAGATTGCAGAGTGCAATCTCGCTCGTTGATTGAAACCCCAAATTGGAAAAGAAAAACTTACAGGATGAGGTGTGGCGAGTTAGGCAAACATAGCATAAACGCGCTGATTCTTCGGTTGACAGTGTTCTTTACTGAGCGATCGATACAGAAAATGTGCTCAAACATGATTTCGAGATCGTAGGTCTACCGGTATCTCAAGTACATGCACACTTCCTTCTGACTTGAGAACTGAGCAAGCATTCCTCTTTGTTCAAATGTCATTTGCTGCTATATAACGTAGATTGTTTCTCAGTGGGCTTGCTTTGCTTGACGCATGTGTGTTCTGTTCTTAGAAGATTGGTCATGACTGTTGAGTAAGAAACCTATCTATTAACCAAGGGAAAAAGGTAACATGGAAAGGTTTGGACAGGTACGAATGTGTACGTAAGTGTTGCTGCACGTTATTTACATACAGAAGAAATTATGTAGAAATGAACTCATGTGGGAGCCGTTCATCAAAAAGGTCTCTCCTGTCTAAATCAAATAGACAAAACATGTTTTATAAGCCTATTGACAGCAGCTCTAGTCAATTTCAGTATTTCTGCTCTATGTAGTATGTGTGAGAGTTAGTGGGTGTGAGAGTTAGTGGATACGAGCCTTTTCCGTTACCATATACCTTATTTTGACTTGATCAACGAGATTCGGGATCGGATTGTTGGACGAGACTGTGAGATATCCACCTTCAGCGAATCTTACGTGAAAGACATTCACACAAAGTACATACCTCTATGACAGAACTCCCACCCAAAACAAATCCATTTTCGGCTTCTAGATTGATTCGAGATCCTTTGACGTCGACGTATAACACTTTTCTTCCCTACTCCATCGCCTTCTAGAATTTCAACTATGTCAAGGTCGAAAACTAACCAGTTGTCATCGCCTCGGAATTTCAGCAACGGAAATTATAGTTGGCTTGCTGTATCGAGAATTGCATTCCCAGATATTTCCAATCCACCGCTCGTCAACAGGAGATCTTCTAGATGAGGCATTCTACTAATCAACATACGGAGAGTCTTGTCTGTCACACCGTGGAAGCCAACAAGGGTAGAAAAAAGGTGCAAAATGAATAACATTGCCTCCCAAAGACATAAGTTACTGTGAAATATAAATCTTTTACATCAAGCAAAACCAGGAGCATACACTTTACCCTCTTTAAAATTTCCTTTCTTTTTGAATCTTGAGTTTTAAAATTCACACCTTTTTCACCCATCATCAATGTTATTCTGAAACGCAAGCACACATTTTGGATAAAAACACACTTTAAAAAGCCTAACTAAACCTTGTGGTTGTCTTGTTGGCTTGCCTAAAACCCCAAACCCTGAAACGACTTATTGCTAACATCATATGTATGTCTTGATAACTCAAGGTCAGAAGGCTCATCATGAATTAAATGAATACAAATTCATTCTTACTCGTCAGTCTGTAATATCAAGACACACAATCTTGCACACTAATTCAGCTGTTTTATCTGTTACAATTGTTGAAACAGTACCATCTGTTCCACCCCTTCAGACATCCAAAACATACACAATCAGACATATCCAGAGACACAAGACACATCCAGACACATCTGCAGAGACCAACCACACACGTCACAACAAGAAAAGTCAATCAACATCAACAACATCAAGACAATCATGCAACACCATTAACATCAATCCCAAGCCGAGCAAGCCACACATGAGCCCACAGAGCATCAGACAAAGCCAGAAGTCCCCAGGGCAGAATTAGACAAGCCATTACAAAAGTATATACATAACCGTCATGACACTACTAACAGCTTCTTCCTGGGTGATGGGCTTTGGTGAGGGCGTGGTGGAGATGGGCGCCAAGATGGCAATAGATTTCTGGAAGTTGTCTGAGGCTGTTGTTGCTGATCATTATTATTGCTGGAAGTGGTTGTAGTGGATGATGGGGTTCTTTATGTAATGGCAATGTAGGAGGTTGTTGAGGTTGAATGGGTGTATTTTTTGTTGCAGCTTCTTGAGCCGTTCGTATATGCTGTTGCGTAAATAGCAGTTCTTGGATTCGTTGTGGTTGTTGCTGCTGATGTTGTTGTGCTTGTTGCTGATGTTGATGTTCCTGCTTTTCACGTATAAAGGCCATGACTCGATTGAATAATTCCATAGATTGAATATTTGCAGACAAGGCAGTGTTCGCCTTCTCACGCTCCAAATAGGCCAACACGTCCGCTACACTCTGTTCGTCCATTTTAGCTTGGTTTTTTGAAAAGATGGAATTGCCAGACATTACAGACAAGAGCAAAGCGTACAGAAATGGAATTTTACTAGTAAAAGTAATATGGAACATCGCATCCCTTGTATTCATCAGCGATCGCATAATGTACAAACACCTCAAATCATGTCCTGAGGTAGTCATAGTTTCATGTTTGTGTGAGACTCGGAAATACAATCACTCAATGAATCAATGCGATTGTATCGTAATGTAACGTCTTTATACTGTAAGATGCTCTTGTAACACACCAACATGTAAAGGCACTTCATTCCAAGACATTCCTGCAAGTCTGAAGCAGGCTATGGGCAACTAGAAACTCAGTGAATCCAGTACTCATACAACAATAATAGATTCGATGATGCAAAAAATTGTCCAGATGTGGAATCTGTAAATGGAAAGCTTATGACATTCTTGTTGGAACCACAGTCTGATTCTGAAACTGAGAATGATTCTTGGAGAGATGGTATATGATGAGGACGATGGTGACAAAGATGTTCACTTGTAGATTCGATGAAAACTAGTCAGGAGAATGCACGAAGCTGTAACAACAAAGCAAATGTGTACTGAATTGAGAGATATATATAGATATTGACTTATCAGCTTTGTCCTTTAGTAGAAAGCGCCCCCCCTTCGGACCATACTATTGTTTGCGCTCCTAATTCAATGTACCCAATCAGCGTTTTGAAACCATTTGATCATTTTTGAATTGGAAGTATTTATTACCTCAATCTGTTCAATGATTTCTTGTTCCTCCTTAAAGAAGTCCACCTTTAGTTGCGTCAGATTTTGTTGATGGTCACCTATGACGCTCACCGGATCTGCCGATGATTGAATAGAGGTCAATACGTCCTCGATGTCAGGAAGCAGCCCCAGGTACTTTGTGCCTAGCAGATACAGTAGTCCCTCGTCCTCTCTCTCGTCCTCTTTAATTAGTGCTTGAAACCTATTTAATTCCAGCAGATATGCATCAAGAGCGTTCTTTCCGGCGTCAGACAGCCAATCACGAATCTTTTTCCGGAGGCGTTTTAAGTTCTTTTCAGATTCCGAACCTTCATCTGTCGTTATGGCAATAGTTAGAACCGCAGCATCCGTTGGACTTTTCCAAATTGACAATCCTGTTACCTTCAGTCTTTCTAAAATATCCTGAATACCAAAGGCAGATACAGAGGCAAGCAAAGGCCACCAGCGGCAGACCAAGCTTTGTTCCGACGAGGACTTCCAACACCCCGAGCATCATCATTTGCACTGGGATAAAATACAACACCCAGCCACATCTCGCCAAGACAGAAAAAGGGGACACGGCAACATGGACGAACCCAGCTCTCTGATTCCTCCACAATTCGAAACTTGTTATTGCTAGATGAATCAAAACGTAAGCCAGTGGGAGATCAAACGGGTCCAGATACACCGGTAGCTCCAGTCTTGTCTGAATATCAAGCCACCTATAAAAAAGAGTCTCGAGACTGGTGGATACCAACGGAGCAAGTATTAAAGTGTGGAACCTTCCCTTGTGAATAACAGTATCACAAGACACTTTGAGTAGAGAGGAGATCCAGCTTTTGGCAGGTCCTGGGAGACATTGCCAAACGATGAAGCTAACGACGTTTACATTCCACAGTTGTTGGTATGAAGCTGAAGGCGGTGTTGAAAACGTCCGAGACGAACGATAGATACCGCTGATCCGTCGGTCAACGACGGCGCTGTTTATGAAAGAATCCCAAGAATCCCAGTGCCAGAGCATTGCTATTTTAGCGCTAAGACTAAAGAAAGGGTTTGGAGCCCAATAACCAAAGACACCCAAAAACCATTCACGGCGGCCGCTTGCGGACCTCCAACTACCGATAGCGAACAGATAAAAGTCTTCATAATCAACCAGATAACCTAAAAGTCAACGCTGAGAGGTTGAAGGTATTCAAATCATTTCGACTTAAAACCTACTTGCAACGGAGGCCGGAACCCAAGAAACATTCATAAACGATTTCAAGCTTGGGCGTGTCAAGAAGGCTACTATGACAACAACCAGTAAGAGCAACCTGAGCACAAACACGGGCTTCTCTACATATGGCCCGATCGTCGTCCAAACTCCCCATTTTGTTACAACAGTATTAATCTTCTTCATCAACACTTCAGGAGTGAAGGTTATTTCAAGCGTTTATGAGCTGGCGAGACGAATGGCATACCATAAAGCACAGCCAGGCAGATTAGCGCACAAATTAGTGTTGCGATAACCAACCAAAAGATACTGTTGTCGGACCACCTTCTACAAGAACCGGATTTCAGAATGAACAACAAAGAGTTCAGGGTCCGGTCGCAGATCGATACCTGAAATCAAAAAAAGCTGTAGTAAAGGGGAATTAATATCCGAAGGTGTGTTCATACACAAACATAGTCTAATACCTGGTCGAACATCCACTTCGATATTGGAACGTAGCTTCAAATCTGATGAAGCTACTATGGAAGTCGACTTGACTTCATCACTTGGAATGGCGTTCCCAAACCAACACAATAGTAGCAACACTGCAACAATTTGCAATATGTGGACCTTCATCATCACTAGTCTCGTATGAATAATGATTTCTAGAGTCAGTGATCAGTAGGTTCCACCAAAAGCCTCTTCCCTGGACCCTTACAGATATAGAATGGTCTGACATGCTTTTGGTGTTCGATCCGAAAAACGGATTTCGTTGACAAAGGAGTTTACTGTTCTTGTTCACTCTGTTGTAGACAAGTGTGCCTGTGTGGCTTGACGCGTCACTTTGACGTCTGCTATGTGAGGCTGCTAGCCTTGGATTTCAGCCTCCTTTCGCTTTCCATACTTTTGGCGTTTTAGCTCCCGAAGCTGTCACTATATTCCGTCGTATTGCTGCTGCATGCGTCAAGTCTCAGGTTGTTCGCGATAATGTCTCATCCGCACTTGTTTTTCACCGGATTGGGATCGCTATTATGAAGAGTGTGGGGCTGCAGCTAAAGCTCGCATGAGGAAGGGGGACGCGTTTTGAGGGTTGTAGTAGTACTGTAGTTTGTAGTGTGCTTCTTCTTTTCAGTTCAATAACACACATGAGTTGTAATGTGCGTGATACATTCAGAGAAGCATGCAAATTCAAACTTGCCAATTTTAAATATCCTTTTAAAATCTAATTTTCGGGTATGTTGGTTGTCGTATCTTGGGTGGTTTGGCCGTGATCCCCCGTCTAATATCGCACCAAAACTGTTGGCCAATGTTTCAGTGCTCGCTGTGCATGGGCAGCTTCAAGGCAAACCGTACACTGAACCGCCACTACAGAGAACACCACCTGCGGGAAGACTTGGTAACAGACACTCGTCAAAGCGACAATGCTGTGACTGGGTAAGAAATTGATGGGAAATGCATTTGGAACGATGGAATCTGGGATTTACGGGATGAATCCTCATTGAAATACGTTACAACGTAGAGCTGAATACCAACGACAACGGCGCCGTGCTGCATCGGAACGCAAGCTAGTCTCCCGGGTCAGGATTGAAAACATGTACGTGCTGTGAAGTATCGACGAGAGCGTAATGATTTGAAGGAAGCCACTTTTACATCACCTGTTGAAACGCAATTTTCAGGCTCGCCCATCGTTCCATCGTTCGTTGGTTGGTTGGCATCCCCCCGTCAGATACCGCACCAAACCTGACGATCCGCAACCCAACAGGTCCAGCCGGTTCAGCACTACCTCTCATGCTAAGAGGTCGCAACTCTCACAATTGATGAGTGGTCGTATTCAAGATAGTATCAATCTTATGTATATACCGTCAAACTTTGGATACAAGACATACGGAGAAGCCAAGCACCCATTTATTTGTCGTATTATAGAGGAGTCTCGTCTAGGCCCGACATCCACTTTTATAGATCTAGGTTGTGGAGTCGGTCAAGTCTGTCTGGCAGTCAGCATCCAAACTGGTTGTCACTCATTTGGTGTCGAGATCGAAGATAACTTGGTCGATAACGCAAAAACGTTGATTGCACAAAACCAAACCCTTCTGAATATGACATTCTTGGCCGAAAAAGTCATTGTCGTTCAAGGTGACATCATGCGTCCAGCAGCTGATCTGATTGAAAAGTTAAAGTATTGTGAATTGCTGTTCACCAACAAGTAAGTCAAGCAGTCGTTTTGTCTCTACACACTTTCGCTTATGTTTTTCGTCGATAGCCTGAAATTTACTGAGCCGATGCATCTCCAACTATGCCATTTGGTTGGAACGTATGTAAAGGAAACTGGTATGGTACTAGTTACGACCTTTGATATGGGGCCATGGCTTAGCCAGGAAAGAGCAAGTAGAAGCAAGACCACCGGTGTACGTCGAATGGCGCCAGCTGGTTGTTTCGGTTGGACAGACAACAGTGTACAATACTATTCGTATAGGATAAAGAGGGACTCATAGTAATCGTGCTTGGTATTTTTGTCAATAAAGCTGTCTATATGTACAGCGTGTGTATGGTGAGAAATAAAAATTTCTTTTGACTCAGCAGGGGAGATTTGGGCAACACTCTGGTCTGCCTTTTTAGTGTTGTATTACGAGGACTGTAATGGAGTCAGCAGGGGTTAGTAACGTACTTCAATCCGTCGAGTCTTGCATTTCTACGTTTGTGGTTTACGACAGGTTTGTATACTATTACCAACTGCCATGTACAAGCCGGGGCCACAAAACAAGTCCACCACACAAAATCACTCACATTTGAATGACCTCATCGACATACTTGAACTTGCCACCCTTACTGGGACTGTTTTGATATTGCTCCCATTTATTCGAGTCTTGACGTCCATTTCTTGATGTCACAAATATTTCTGCATTTTGAGTATAGGACCGGCTACTTTTTTGCAGCCCCTGTGCACACTGGTGGCCTTGGATTTCAAACTTTACATCCCAGTCAACTTGCCAAATTTCTTCTTGCTTAAGAACATGTACAAATGCTAAAAGAGCACTAGCATATTTGAGAGGCAAGTGATGATGAATGGAGCTGTTGTCACCGACCACTAAATACGATGTTAATTTTTTCTTTTTAGAGTCATTAAAATCCAGCAAGTCCTAGTTCCACTTGAGTAAGGATAGCGAGGTGCTGGCTCCGTCAAGGGCTTCACGTCGATCAACTGCACCACCGAAATGCTTGGGAAGGTTTTTAAAGAAGGTTCTGATAGCTCCTTTTGTTGAGAAATCTCGAGACTGCCTGTCTGTGTACTGTTTTGGCCACTTTTCTTTTGTGAACTCTCTTTAGACTTGTTTCGAGATCGTGACGATGACCCTTTGTAGGCTGTTTGTTAGATGGCTTTTTTGGCACTTCTGGTAGTTGTAGTGCTGACCGTTGGTCTGGAGGTTGGCTGATCGTCATCCTGCACCTTATCCGACAATTCTGGCTCACTACCGGAAGAAGGAATTGGTTCTTGCCGCTTTGAAGCACGAGATGCTGGCGCAGATACTTGAATAGTCAAGGAGTTAGCTAGTGATTGCCAATTGACACCCATATCTAGTACCTGAAGATGGATTTCTAACAGAAAGTTTGCCTGCAGGTTGAAAGAGTTTTTGTTGAGAGCCCTATGTGAGGACGAATGGTGCAGTGCGTTTACCACTCTTGATTTTTAAGTTCCATCTTGCAACTATGGCAGTCATAAAATAGTCGACGACCTTATAAGGCATTTCTTCGTCTTGGACTGATTCTGCAACGACCTCCAAGAGGACCTATTCAACAGCTCTTTGTTTCAGCATTGGCCTTGACTTCTAGACTTGTTCTTCTATTACACTACCTTCATTGAGAGAGGTATGTAGCCTGAGCTGGTAAATTCTTGTATTTTTGCTTCAAATGGAAGTCATTCTCGTGGCAAAGCTTTACGTTTCGTCCTTTGGCGTTCGACATCTTCACAGGGTGGATACAGAGAATAAACGACCGGAAAGTTATTGTTTTATACAGATCACTGAAATTCAGTACTACGGCAAAGTGCAAACCTGACTAATTGTGCTTAAACGACAAGCGGGATTTGAAAACATACTCAATTTTCGTCAAAACTTAAATTCGATCTAGCTTAAAGAATAAAACCACGCAGCGGCAAATAGAGAATGTTTGTGGCTCTGTTTCCCTGGTAATATTTCAAGTGTTTGGTGGTTATATCCGTGTTTTCGCCAAAAGGCCAGATTTCTGTGTTAAATCCCAACCTTTAATTGAAACGCCAAATTTCGAGAGAAACATTTACAAAACACAGATAAGCAGTTCTTCAAACTCGCCATATACTTGCTGCTCTTTCCGTTTTTGGTGTTTTTTATAGGGCGATCGATACAGAAAATATGCTCCAAAACTGATTCCAAAGATTTCCGCCTGGGGTATCTGAATCTTAAGCATGTACATATTCCCTTCCGAATTAGAGACTAATTACGAAAACAATATCTTCAGAATGTTTTCAGGAATAATTCGTATACCCTTTCCTAATCAGCTTGTTTTTGCCTGTTGCGTTTTGAACATCAACACATATAAATGGGAAGGTCAACAGTACGAGACACAATTCGATTCGGTTTCCGGATTTACCTGTATACGTCAAAAAATATTTGAATGTCTTGAAGGGTCCTATAGATCCACAGTACCTCGAAATCACCAATGACGAAGACTTGAAAGATATAATTGCTGTATATTATGGCACACGATTTTGGACGGATCATCTTGACTCGGTATCCGTTGATCCCGCTATGCTCGACGAATATAGAAGGATCCGTGGTGTGGAAGCATTGCTCGCTGCTATTGACTCTGGCAATGGCAGTATATGTACTCTGCTGTTGAGAACGACAAATCCCGAGATTGCCGTCAACTCTTTACCCATGCTGAAGGCATACCATGTAGATGGTGGTGATTTGAACATCACAACATCAAAGAATCGGTCGTTGCTCTACATTGCCGCTAGAAAAGGCCATACAGAGATGGTCGTATTGTTACAGCAACAGGGACTGGATGTGAACTTGGTGGATGACGGTGGAGAAACTCCTCGCGCTGTCGCATGTTTGAAAGGGCATTAACTGTTCTCAAGTACCGCGTCAAACAGGGCGGTGATGTCAACAAACCTAATAATGATAACGCAACTCCACTGTGGGTTGCAGCTGCTGGTGGACACTTGGAAGTTGTCAAATACTTGGTTGAGAAGGTCAGAGCGTGCTTTTACACCCCATTTCTCTGTTTCTGTCAACTACGTGTTACCCGCTCTCGAACAGGGAGGTGAGTTAAATCAAGAGGCTCTTGGATACACCCCACTTGACTGCAAGGTCATACGCAAGTCGTCGAATACTTGGAATCTACTGGCGCTCGATAATTGATTGACCGCTTCTCTGCTGAATTGTTTTGGCGTTCACACTACCAAGTATACTGATGTCTTTCTAATACAATCTGTGTCAAATACCTTCCCTTACTAGTGTCCTACATATCTTACCCTTTTCACCCTTTTAACCTCAGAATAGTTTGTCTTTCCACGAGTCACGTCCCATGAACATAATTTCGAAAGCGACTTCGAGTCCATGGAACTCCAAACATCCAGAATGTCTTCAACACGATTATTCTGCGCTGCCGACTCCAATATCAATGCTCGACCACTCTCTAGAGCGTTACAACTAAACATCCCAGTTTGCAAATTATGGGATGTGACTGCAAATGATTGAAGTTGTTTCAAAAGGCATACAGCTGGAGCATAGGCGTCTTCAAACAAAGCATGGAGCAAAGCATCCGTTTCGGCGTTGAGAGATACTTGGTCATTCACCAAGGCGACTTTCCCCTGAATAATACAATCTTGCAATTTTTTTGGTTTGACTATATATGGATAGTCATTGATTTGCCACATGGTCAGCCGGAGATTGTCTGTCTCACAATACGGATGCCCATCCAAAATCGACTTGACTGATACCATATATGCGATGTTGCTAGCAAAGGATAGTGGTATACCAGTTAAGAAGCGCCTGGCATTTAGAGCAAAGGTAGCGAGACATTCGTCCGACATGGTCCGCCTGTCGTGTTGCACGTTACATTGACTACTACTTCGACTCATGTTGGCATGTCGCAAAAGTAGCATTCGGCGACCCATTTCAGACACATCGACAGGACCCTCAGTATCAGCGAAGGTCATACCTTGAGCCAAAGAAATCAAATAATGTGTTTTATCCAGTGGAGAGATATGTCCTGTCACCCAACGTTGTCTAGCTTCATTCGCGACCACATGTAGACTTTGCCACCAGTTCCAATAGTATGACTTCCACTATATTCTCTTTGACCTCCACAATATTAGCGACGTTTCCAGCGTGTGTCAACTGTTTCAACCGACAGCTCACAGATGGCGTCGACTACCTCCACACACTTCTTTAGTGTTCTGCCACGAGAATCGTGGACCACGTTACTTGTGAATAGTACAGGAGCGATGTCAAAAGGCCAGAAACCCGTTGGTTGGCGCAATGCATCGTACCAAGTACCCCCGGTCTTGATATTGAAAAGTAATCTTTGATAGACACCAAGAGATCTTTGATAGCTTTGACCACATCGTCGCTCAGTTTGCCCTTGACTTTATACAAGATCTTGATAATGCGTAACCGGTCCTTTTGCACGTGAGGAATCAGGTTCACCACTTCCTTTGGTGCGGTTCCGAATCACCTTCAAGTAGAAAGCCCGTCAGACAATACAGACACTGCCAGTCTGTCCACTGCGATCATCCTACCGTCAGCGTTCCGCGTTTGAACAGCCATACTGCCTTCGCCAAACGATGTGTCTAGACAGAATGGTAATCAACCACAGGAACCGTACAATGTAAGAGGCGTCAAACGCACTTTGGCAATACTTTCAATCAAGTTCTCTACTCCTTGGAGTTCCTGAAACACTGATATAGGGGTTGTGCCCATCCATCCATAAAGCTTGCAACACCGTGTTGGGCCAATCGGCACGGCTGACAGGCTCAACGTCGAATCACTGGTGTTGCTCACTCATGCCGTCAAGTACTGTACGACTTGTGTCTCTTTAGCCGTTACATCGTTAGCACGCTGGATGTCTTGATCCACCACAGCTACATCAGACGCAGGCTTCCCGGTTTTAGTAGCAGTGGAGGATTCCTCATAGCGATGTGACTCAACGGTCATGGTAGGTCTCGAGGACGGAACCAACTTTGGTTGGCTTGGCTAGTCAAGTATCGTTCGTCACTCATACTGCAGCAAATTGCTTTGACAACTTACCAGTTTGGGGTAAGAGTAGGAGACTGAACTTTCAAAGGTTCTGCCTCCTTCTGGCATGCTTTCCCCATCCACTTCTGCTCTGAAGTTTGGATTGTGAATCAAGGGTGTTACAAACGCATCGTGCGGAACGAAGCCTTTGCCAGAAGCGACTTGAAAAGAAGCCCGTCTACTTGCTCATTCTTGGTCGCTCCATATTATTGAGATAAGTCTCTCCAAAAGAAAAAGCTGCGTGTCTGTCAACTGTACTAGTGACCACCTCAGCCTCAAAACTTCTGCAGCCAAAAACCACCCGCATTGATTGTATGGATACGTTGATACTAGAGGAGTCGAGCCTGACGTTCCCTAGTCCTAGAGAGCCGTTAGGGACAGGAGGAGGTGGGTCAGTGGAGAAGGCATCCTATGCTGGAGGGACTGTCGCAGCAAAATGCCTCCATGTACAGCAAGATAATGTCGCCTTAGAACAATTCAAACGAGAAGTCTCTTATTTGGCTTCATTCCGACATCCAAATATCGTCTTTCTCTATGGCTATACCGACAGCATCAAGATACATCCGTTCCGCTACATGGTCATGGAATATTTGAATGGTGGATCATTGGACACCAAGTTGTCGAGTTTGGTCAAGGAGTGGCCGAAACGATACAAGATTGCGGTAGATGTAGTAGCAGGTCTATGTCTGATTCATTCAAAGGGTGTAATACATCGGGATTTAAAGTCTGCCAATGTCTTGCTGGATGACAATGGCACAGCCAAGTTGGCCGATTTCGGTTTGGCAAAGACCAGTCACTCGAATTCCATGTCTCGAGTGGTTGGAACCCCAGCATATATCGCACCTGAAGCAACTGGAACCGGTGGCAAAGTAAGTGCCTAGAGTAGCATAAATAATATAGATCATACTATTCACTCGCATTACCTGTTGCAGGTGTCTGTCAAAAGCGACATTTGGTCACTAGGAGTACTGTTGACGGAGATCGCGTCGTGTGTTGGGCCGTTTGGAGTAGCATCAAGCAAGCTGACTGCTGGAAATATCTTGTGGTTTCAGAAGGGAAACAAACCCAATATGACCAACTGGACCTGTCCACCCAAATTTAAAGATTTGATTACTCGCTGTCTATCCATCAGTGCCGATGAACGACCTACGGCCGCGGAGGTCAAATTGTACTTGGAAGAAAACAAGAGCGACATTTCCGATATATTTGGTACACCACGACAGGACGTACATGATACTTCTGGTAAGCACAGTCGACAGTTGTGGTTTACCCTGATATGGCTGATTTCATAAGCTTAGCCTTGTCTGATGCTTTGGACGAGTACGCCAGACGATTTGCACCGATTCCTCGATGGCAGTGCTTGCAAGGATATGGACCTCATGCCTTCTTCATCAGGTACTAGTACGTAAAATGAACGTTCGTGACTGGTACACTGAACGTCCCTTCGTTCCAGTCATAGAGCCGAGTGTGATGGTATGAACGCCAAGCTACTGCACTATATGCTATCGCCGGTTGGAATGCATGCCTACCTAGATGTAGAGTGTCTGCAAATAGGAGAATCCTATCAGGGCGATTTCGTGGCTGGTTTGATGCGTTCACGCGTCATTATTCTGATAATCTCGAAAGAGGCCGTGTCCCGCTTCAGCACGGCCGATAAAATTGGAGACAATGTGTTGTTGGAGGCAAGTGGAAACCACAGGTGATGGTGTTTGCGATATCTGAAACCCAAATGAATTTTAGTGGGAACGAGCTTTGGAAATGCATAGAAATCGCCAAGCTTTGGTCTATCCTGTGCTTTTGAGTAGTCGTGATGGATCAGGTGGAATGCTGACATTTGAAAATTGGGATGTCTCTGTGTATCCCGATACCAAACACGTACATCCAAAGAGTAGAAGTCATGATACCATTCGACAAACCATTGCAGCCATATTTAGACTTCAAGGCGTCAAAGTATACGGAATCGACAAGTAAGTGGATTTCGCAGGTCGACACCTCTGACGTAGATCTCATTCCCGTTGTTTAGGAGTCTCATCCCTGGTTTACAAGCGGTATACCAGAAGCAAGTGGCTGTGGACTCGGACAGAAGTGGCGTATTGGCTGAGAGAGCCTTCCAAGGTTCCTACTATGCTAATGCGGTATATTGGGCGAAAATGTCTATGGAGCTGTCTGGAAATCCTCTTGGATATTACATTTATGGCCGATGTGTCCAAGATGGACTAGGTGACGAAATGAGGAATGAACCTCTGGCCGTGGAACTGTATCAAAAGGCCGCTCTGTTGGGACATCCGGAAGCTGCTAAACGATTGTTAGAGAGGTAATGGGATTTTGGTTGTGATGGGCATTTTAACTCTAACTTTCATTTCGGTGGCCTTAGAAAGGTGGTGGATTCCTTGCCTTCGCCGTCGTCAGCAGGATCGACCAATGTCAGTCTCTCTGGTACGTATCCTTTCCTGGAACAAAACAACAGCAACTATATAGATAGCTGACCTTATCAGTTTCAGGATCGGAAAGCAGTACGGCAATGAATCTTCTGCGAGACTTTCCTCAAGTCCAAAAGTTTTGGAGAGATTCTTTTGGACATGTTGACGTTGTAGACTCTACCCGCTTTATGAATGTCCTACGTCTATCGAGCCGAGGCTTGGCCCAGAAGCTGAAATCCAATGTCGTCGAGGCAGCCGAATTTCGGCAGTCGTTGTCACAAACCAAAGAAAATGAAATTTGGGCCCACGACATTGCCAACTTTTTGATAGATCATGATGCGGAGGCTGGTGCACGTCTGGATGTCGTATCCGTCAACACTTTGGATGAACTTGTGCAGGAACGAGTTCGAAAGGAGGAAGACGAACGGAAACGACAACTGAAGGCTCAACAAGAGGCCGAAGAACAGGCTCGACAAGAGGCAGCTGCAGCCCCCATGTTGGGGGCTGCGACGAAGGCACGTCGTGAAGCAGAGGAACGGGCTCGACAAGAAGCGGAGGAACGGAATCGACAGCAAATGGCAGATACTAAGGCCCGTATTGCAAAGTATCCTTTTCTTTCTGGGTTGGAGAACCAAAGCCGCTGGGATTTAAATGGTGGGGCACGAGCATTTTATATGATGCTTGCTAATTGCTTAGTAATCGTTTGGCGGAAGCGGGGCTCTGACCCTGCACCCCGTGAGGCCCATCAGTTTAATAACGATCTTCTTGCTGAATAGGTAAAAGTATTGGAGATGATGGAGCTAGAGCCATTGCAGATGCATTGAAAGGCAACACCACCATGACGAAGCTCGGCCTTGGTGGTAAGTCAAACTTGACGATGTGTTGATTGCAGTGGAAGGCAACCCATTGCTTGATTCTTACTCAACCATCCTCATCTTGGAATAGGCAACAGCATTGGAGATGTTGGAGCTAGAGCTATTGCAGATGCATTGACAGGCAATATAACCATGTCGGAGCTCTACCTTGGTGGTAAGTCAAACTTGACGATGTGTTGATTGCAGTGGAAGGCAACCCATTGCTTGATTCTGTCTCAACCATCCTCATCTCGGAATAGACAACAGGATTGGAGCTGATGGAGCTAGAGCCATTGCAGATGCATTGAAAGGCAACACCACCATGACGGTGCTCAGCCTTGGTGGTAAGTCAAACTTGACGATGTGTTGATTGCAGTGGAAGGCAACCCATTGCTTGATTCTGTCTCAACCATCCTCATCTTGGAATAGACAACAGCATTGGAGATGTTGGAGCTAGAGCCATTGCAGATGCATTGACAGGCAATACAACCATGACGAAGCTCGGCCTTGAAGGTAAGTCAAACTTGACGATGTGTTGATTGCAGTGGAAGGCAACCTATTGCTTGATTCTTACTCAACCATCCTCATCTTGGAATAGACAACAGCATTGGAGCTGGTGGAGCTAGAGCTATTGCAGATGCATTGAAAGAAAATGCAACCATGACGGAGCTCTACCTTCATAGTAAGTCACACTTGACGATGTGTTGATTGCAGTGGAAGGCAACCCATTGCTTGATTCGTTCTCAACCATCCTCATCTTGGAATAGACAACAGGATTGGAGATGTTGGAGCTAGAGCCATTGCAGATGCATTGAAAGGCAACACCACCATGACGGTGCTCAGCCTTTATAGTGAGTCAAACTTGACGATGTGTCGATTGCAGTGGAAGGCAACCCATTTGTTGATTCTGTCTCAACCATCCTCATCTTGGAATAGACAACAGCATTGGAGATGTTGGAGCTAGAGCCATTGCAGATGCATTGAAATGCACCACCACCATGACGAAGCTCGGCCTTGGTGGTAAGTCAAACTTGACGATGTGTTGATTGCAGTGGAAGGCAACCCATTGGTTGATTCTGTCTCAACCATCCTCATCTCGGAATAGACAACAACATTGGAGCTGCTGGAGCTAGAGCCATTGCAGATGCATTGACAGGCAATATAACCATGACGGTGCTCAGCCTTGGTGGTAAGTCAAACTTGACGATGTGTTGATTGCAGTGGAAGGCAACCCATTGCTTGATTCTGTCTCAACCATTCTCATCTCGGAATAGGCAACAGGATTGGAGATGTTGGAGCTAGAGCTTTTGCAGATGCATTGACAGGCAATACAACCATGTCAGAGCTCTACCTTGGTGGTAAGTCAAACTTGACAATGTGTTGATTGCAGTGGAAGGCAACCCACTGCTTGATTCTGTCTCAACCATCCTCATCTCGGAATAGGCAACAGCATTGGAGATGTTGGAGCTAGGGCTATTGCAGATGCATTGACAGGCAATACAACCATGTCGGAGCTCTACCTTGGTGGTAAGTCAAACTTGACGATGTGTTGATTGCAGTGGAAGGCAACCCACTACTTGATTCTGTCTCAACCTTCCTCAATTTGGAATAGGTAACAGCATTGGAGCCTCTACTCAGAGCTACATTAAGAAAACCTTGCCTTCGGTTTCTGTTTCAATGTAGATGTTACTAATACGACGATTGATATTTGTTTGAAATACATACCATCTTTCATACTCGTATCGTGTGGCTTTGCGGTATTTGTGAATATGCATCCCGGTGAGGTCCATCAGTTTAATAACGCTTCTTGCTAAATAGGTAAAAGTATTAGAGCTGATGGAGCTAGAGCTATCGCAGATGCATTGAAAGACAATACAACCATGACGAAGCTCGACCTTAGTAGTAAGTCAAACTTGACGATGTGTTGATTGCAGTAGAAGGGACCCAGTGCTGGATTCTGTCTCAACCAGACTCATTTTGGAATAGGTAACAGCATTGGAGCCTCTATCTAGAATTTATCAAGAAAACCTTGCATCTTGGTATGGGACTTGTATGTGGAGACGAATAAATAATCGAAGATTCTGCCAATATCAGCGATGGTAGAGGGGATATCGTTGCGTCCTTTTCCTCCTATACGTCATAAATAATCAACGCCTTTCGTACATTGATGAAAGTTTTATTTACATTGATTTGGAAAGTCGGACAAGCGAGAAACAATGGCAATGTCAATGTCGACTCAATGCGGCCTACGAGACCTAGCTACTCTTTTTTAGAGAAAAATCTGGGTCACACTCGATTCCTTGTATTGCCAAAGCCAGTCGTGAAGATTCCAGCATAGTATAGGTCAACCCGAGATAAATCAGCCTTCACTATAAAGGCATGCATCTTTTCTTCAGAGGTACAGTTGACGATCATATCAATCGCTGCAGGGTCAATGGCCGACGGAAATCCATTCCCCTCCTTGAGACACAAATATATCAAACGCCTACTGCCTTTGTTGCTTTTTTTTACATATTCAAACATCAATTCTTCGTCTTGAAGAGGGATAAACCCAAGCGGCGCACCACCCGCCACCCATCCAGATTCAATCAAGATCTGGGCACTATTCATATTTGCTGGCGTGTTGCCTGCGGCCAACCACTTACTGAAGACACCATTGCCTTGAGGCTGGATTTGGGCACCATCGACTTCGAGACTTGCGAATACAATACTACGACTCAGTTGAGTGTCAGTGAGATCACCCAACTTGAACATTAGAATGTCAGTCGAAATTTTCAGAAGAGCTGTTTTCACTACATTCCATATCCAGATCGGGGCTGAGACCAGCTGTGGTAGTAGGAGCAACGAGCTGTTTCATTCGTAATGTTGCTCGTGAAACCTCTCCGAAATCTATAAGACGATGAGATTAGAAATATTTTGGGCAAGATGATCAGCAGTGTAGAAATATTTTGGGCAAGTTTGGGAACGATTTTCCTGTTTCGTTGGTTGCGTCCGCCGGGAATGTCCCATGCGATGTGAACAATTAGAGACTCATAAAGTGCAATTCCGTCGCAAACGATGGAGCCTGTCTATCCCCTACGTTTCCTATTCAATAATCAGCGAAAGAGAATGGACAAAAGGAAGTGCCGCGGATTCAATGAAGACTATGAATTGTAATTCAAAACTGACGCGAATTTAGTTTTGCTACTAGGTGTCATTTTGTAATAGGTGGGCTTGTCGGTGTATGTACGACCTGTTTACCTGAGCCTGAGTACCAGGGGTGTTATTGGTCACGTGTTCGGCTCTTATCTCTGTGGAAAGCTTCTGCAGGAGAGTCAAGCTTCACGTAGTATTCGCGCATCGAAACGAAGCTCTTCACAGTATTCTATTGCTCGAGCCAAAATGTCAGAAGAGGGGAAAGGTAGTTTTAGGCATCTTGCCTCTAGTGTGTAGCTTTTCCGGTGTAGCTAAAGAAATCCAACCCCGTCCTACTAGGAGAGAACGCTGATACTATCAAGACTTTAGAGCTTGAACCACACCATCTTGGCATTCCTGTCCCGCCTACTGCTCGATACAAGGCAAAGACATTCAGACTCACGACACCGTTGATGCTGTACCTTTCCTTTGGGCTCTTGATCCACTTTATGACAGGAGTGAGTAGTGATTGGTAGGATCAAGTTCACTTCATCCAAAACCTGACGCCTTGCTCCAACATGAAATCAGTTTATGGTGTATCCTCTCTTACCACTAATAGCAGCTGATTTTCAGGTAGGTTCGAAATAGAAATGATTTCGGTAGCTTTTCCCCACAACTGCTCACCCTTTCTTTCAATCATCTTTTCTGGTGGTTTCAAATAGATCTCAACGAATGCGGTGGGAAACTTGGCTACTGTTACTTTGGCCGGCTTTGGAATTTCAAACCTGTTCGTTGGCCCACTTGTGGTATGGAGTCTAATATGAGTTCAAAACGTCCCCCGTGTTTTCACCAAAGTGCTCATTAGGATGTTCTTGGTTACCGAGCACCCCTTATTTGGTGCTCGCTTTTGTATGGCGTTTTCAATCTTGTCGCTGGGCTGGCTCCGAGTTTCGCTGTACTAATGATTATGATATTCATCACTGGCCTGGCTACTGTCTCGAACATCATGTATTTTTCCATTCTGGCTCTCCTTTCTACACCAGAGCGGTTTGGTTTTGTCAACGGGTTTGCGATGTCGTACGTATACTGAATTATTCCTAAATATGTCATCTTCTTTACCTATGGTTCGTACTGAACGTCAGGGCCAGGTCTTTGGGTATTCTTGCAGGGAGAGTTGTCAGTGGCCCCATTGGGCAATATGCCAGCTGGCAGGCAAGCCTGAAGTTTTGTATTTCCCCCCTCTTCGTTTTTCCTAATGAAGGTGCTATTAGGTTGCCTTTTTTTCATTTGGGGGCCTCATTCTTGCTTTTTGCCTAACACAATTCTTCGTGGTGCCCGACGTACCCCCAACTCAAAAGCATCTAAATTATTACCGTCTCATGAAGTCCATGGTCTTACTTTGTCAACACCATGAGACTCAAATCGTACGCTTTACCTTTCACAGGCTTTTTTGCCTGGATTGATAACCTTTTCTTTTTAGTGCATGATTGTGGCCTTTGCATGTTCTACTGGAGTAAGTTACTGTTGGCTAGATTGCATGTTATTCGGTGAAGCACGAGCTCTAACGCCTTCACGTGCGACCGAAAGCTGGCCGCTTTTCTAAATGCTTCCACATTTTTCCTGTCCGATTTTTATGGATACTCAGCCTCCATGATCGGCTACGTTAGTGTGGTTGGGATGGCTGGTGTAGCTCTTGGTCCGTCATTGGGCTGGCTTGTGGATGGATGGGGATCCTTTTACACAATCCTTTGGGGCAAGCCTCGTGTGAAACACTTGAAACAAGTCTCCGAAACTCTGAGTAACCTTGTCCCATAGGCTCGATTGGCCTGACGTTGTCATTCATCATGCAAGTTGCAGCCGGAGGGGCAAATGTTAGCGTTATATGGATTGGGTATTTCCTCATTGACGCTCTGTGTGCTCTTTTACTTATCGCTGGCTTCAAGGCGGGGGTACAGGTCGACGTGACTGCGATCGGGTACTTTTGCGACATGTTTTAGAAGGGGTTTGTTTCTGTATTGACGTGCGTTTGTTTTAGACAAGTCAACACGTTGTTAAATTTAGCATACATGCTGGGGTATATGGTTGGGTCAGCAGTAGGGGCAGCATTGTATTCAGCTTATTCTTATCAGGTCGCTATGGCCTACGCTGCAGCTGTATGCTTTGTTCCTGTGGTTGTTTCCATTGCGCTGGAAGGTTGGAACGGCAAAGGCTGGAAACCCACAGTGACGAAAGCGGATGCGTGAGCCACAACGTTAGCGCTGAACCTTTACCGTTTTTTAACTCATATGTGCTTTTTTAAAGGTCGTCTTTGAATGGAATGGACGTGGAGCCAAAGCACGAATTGCAACTTTTGGATCCTCACTCCAGTTCTGGTAAGCTCCTCGCTAATCTGATTTTATTCGTATCCAGCTCGTTGCTTTTCTCTGAACATTTGGTCCAACAGGAGAAGAAACAGTGTCCTTGGCTGAGCCACATTCTGGTACAACTTTGTTTTGGTGTGCGTTGTTACGGCTAGTCCAAACAAGAGTCGTTTATTTTAGGAGACTTGTCTGATGGGACAACAGTAACGGGAAGTGCGATTTGATCTGATGTTTCCCCGAGTTATAACGATGGCGTGTGATCAACTTGACAGTCCATTGTTTTCTTGAATCTTATCCCAAAAACAGTGTAGCATTCATTCTTTTGTAATGGTGAAGTCCAGATAGTTTGGAATTGTGAAGTCATGATATCTTCTAGATGTATCATCTCCATACAAAAATGGCGATGACAAATCGTTCACTACCTGCTCACTTTGACGCCTCTGGTTTTTCTACTGGGTTGCACTTTTGCAGATTTTTAAACTTCTTTCGATTTAAGTAGGCTGCATTTGAAGGAGATGTCCTTCATTCTCTTTGCGGTGTCTGGATGGGATTTGGTATTCAGAAGGGATTGGCGGTACAATTAGGTGTCAGGGCGCGTTGAGGCCCAGTATCTATAAAATAGTTGTAACAAGTCTCGTCATATACGTCTTTACTCAAGAAAACGACAGAAGGATTTCAAAACTGGAAAAGTGCCTACCCTTTACAAAACCTAGAGACATCACTTTTCAATGGTGATTTATCTGCCGCGTAGTGCAGGTATGTCCCATAGTTTGCGTTGGACGTAGACTCTCCGTTCGTTGCGAGAGCATCTAATGGAAACATGCCAGTTCGTTGCACCGTATGATCTTGTCCATGGAGTTGCAGAAGTCCTGTTTTCACTCCTTCCACTACTATGACAGTCACGACCACTCCACAGGACGTATGTACTTGATGCAGAAGTACGACAAGGTCCAAACAATACTGGAAATTCGTTCATCGTTCAAAGTACTCTGCTTCCTCCTCACTCTATAAAGCATTTCGTCTTTGCGTCCATGGTGTCTGACCACCAGTCAAGCAACACATTCCTCCGACTCTGTCAGGTAGAGAACGCGCGTAGTAGGATGAGAACGAAGCATGTACGCAATCCCACGAAAGACACTGTTTCGCAGACAATCAACCTGTTTCCGTGTTTTGTGTTTCAAGTTCAAAGAACCAAAAGGTCTAGTCGAATGTCGTCCCATTACGTACAATCGGATGGTAGTGTCACAGAAGTAAGGGACGAGTATTCACCTGCCAATGCCACGCCGGCATCTACCTCCCATCCTTAGGTTGATTCCTGTGGATGGAAGGTAGGAGGAGTCAAAAAGAGTATCAAAGGACATGCTATATATCCTTACCTGCAGTGGTCTGGAGGTCGGGCCCTTGCTCCTCTAGACCGTCTTTCCAATCCTCAATTGGATGCTAGTTGGATTGGATGTTAGGAAAGAAAGGCACATTTTTGTTCAGGTTTAATCCAGAACAATGGGGGAGAAAGGAGTGAAGAGACGTGTTTTCGAGTTGAGTAATGAGCATTATAAGTGCTGTACTACATAGTTCAATATTGCCTCAACTAGGAGAAACACGTCAAACGATGCTGTTGGATGAAACATTCGACGGAAAGTCGTCTTTCGGCCTTCGCAAGAGGTCTAATACTAAATAGCCGCTAATTCAAGACTTGAATAAATATGAAGGAATGTTACCCTGCTGATCTGCCGAGGACTGCTGATTCCAAAATGGGAGATTTGACATTGACTAAATTTTGCTGACCTCTGGCACCAGCTCTGGCGTATTTCGATGAAACCTAATTTGGAATGATCTTGAACTTACGTTTCTTGGATTTGACTGCCTCCAAGGGGGGTATGACCCAAACTGTGCGAAATATACAGATCCAACTTACACAAAAGGCTCGAAAAGGTAGCGATATGAAGCACTGATGCTCTATATAGTGTGACATAGGGCCCGAGTGTCAATTAAGTTCATAGCTGTTTCGCAATTCTTCAACAAAGGTGCACTGGTCGAAGATGACCACTTCATTGGCACGTCCATATTTGTGCACAATTCTTCAACAATTTGCACTGGCTCCCTCCTGATTGAGACTGGACTGATTGTAAAGCGCCAAATTTTACGTAAAGTTTCGTTGAGCAAAAGATCTCTAATTCATGTGTATTGGTTTCAACTTCAGGCAGGTGCTTTAACGGCTTGTTGAAGTATTTGGGTCTTGGCAATGTCTCTTTTCAATTTCTGTTGCTCGGCACGTAAACTCTCATGATGAGACTTAAGCATCTCGAGCTTGAAGCTGATCTTTTCAGTGGCATCCTAATCCACAATGAAGCTTCAGTAAAAATCATCTATCTGTAGGATGGAGATTCATAACAAGACTCACCACTTTACTCTCGTGGTCTCTTAACAAGTCTTTACTACCGAGCAAACCATTTCTAGTCTTCAAATCAAGACCAGCAGCTTTCAGACTATCGCGCTTCCTTTTTGCGGCAGGGAGAGCATCCCGTCCGTCAGAAACTTGAGCATCAATTGCCAACATCTGCTTCTTGAGTACTTCGTTCTCGGTTTGCACAAATTGAAGCTTCTCTCGAACATGGGTTAGGATTTGGACCACAGTTGTTATCTTCTTGCGTAATTTCAGTAGTTCCTGTGCGTCAAGGAGATTGAGGATCAGATGCTTCACAAAAGGTGCAACCTGATTGATAGGAACATACCTCATTTCTCTCTTCAATCTTCTCATTATACGCTTGGTTTTCAATCTTCAGCTGTTCAAAATCAATCAGATGTAGCCCATCAGCCAGCTCTTCACGCTGCTTGAGAGCTAATTCACATCTCTTCAATCGATTCTTCAACCGTATATGTTCCAATTGTACAGCAGAAACTTCCGCATCTTTGCGAGATTCTAAAATTTCAATTGAATCAATGGCTTTAAATGGTATTGGCTGTCCTGTTCTAGAATTCTCGGACTCTTTGGCGATGCGACGTTTGTAGGACGTGAATTCTGTGCTCTTGGAGTCGGATTCGGTTTTCAAAGTGGATAATCTTGCAGAAAGGTCTGTAACGGTTTTGGCGTGTGCGATACTGTGTGTTTCTCGTTTTTCGGTCAGATCCGATATGGAGGTGACACATTGGTTGTATCGCTGCTCTTGGTCTGTTCCAGACTTGTCAGTTTCTCGAACTTCCTCGGCCTACAGCAGGAATAATCGAGACGTGAGCAAACTGGAAAGTAATGCTCTCTTTGCAATGTTCTTAGGGGCCCCACTTACTCGTTTACGTCTGAAATACTCGGCAAGTTTAGCTTGCAATCCAAAATTAACATGTCGTAGCTTCTCACGAGTCTCCAAAGCCTCCCGAATCCCCTCAATCAACTCATCACGATCTTGTAAATCAGCGGGATCCGGCTCCTGATTCATGTCATCGCCATCGTCGGAGTCGTCAGCATCCTCATTCTTCTCGGCGTAGATCGTAGGAGTCGACGGTGGTATCATATCTTCTTCTTGGGTGTTTTCAAACTCGTCGTCATCAAGTGCGGATTGCGATAATGCAGAAGGGCCTAGAGACAATGTACCACCAAACATGTCTTCTGGGTCCGCACTCGGGTCCGCGTGGGTGAATGTTACGGCGTCTATGGGCAGCGTGTTGGTTGGTACCGGCGAGTTCATAATATCTTGAAGCACTTTGGCAGAAGATGGCTCGTATTCTGGGTCTGCTTCCCCATCCTCTCCTCCGTTGTGGATGGGCTCGTCTGATTCAACATCGTCCACAACATCTTCTGGTTCTAGACCGTCTAGCGCCAGCAAATCAGTTATGCTTTTGGCCATTCGTAGAGTATCAGGTCGTTCCACAGATTCTTCTTCTTCTTTTGCTAGAGGTATGTATGTAGCTTCAGCAATGTGGTCAACTGCTGATGTTGGTTGAGACGGTTCAGGTTCAGTTGAAGTAGCATCAACAGACAAATCCAGTTTCGATGCTTTCGATCCGGATTTAGATTTTGGAGCTAACTTGTTCATTGAGGTGCTTCTTGAAGATGCGAGTTTGTTTGTTGATCCATTTCGTGATTTACTGCCGACTTTGTCCTTGGATTTAGATAAATTCGAAGTAAATTTTGTAGATGCGAGGTCAATACGGGACGAAGAATTCGACTTTGTCCCGTCTTTCTTGACTTTGGTCGTTAAACTTGATCGTGATCCCTTTGTTGATTGTGGTTTAGGATCTGATAATGTAGCTGGTATTTCCTGTGTTGGTTGAGATGATGCGTCGGCATTGGTTGACTGGACTGGCACTGCTTCACTATCCGCCATTATTGTCTTCTTTTCAACAAAACGATTTTGTTGGGTTTGTTCAATGGTGGTAAAATTTCCGTGTCGTGATTCACTTTACACCACTTGAGAGGTTTCAGGAAAACATATCGAATACCTCTGGATCATACTGAATGTAGCATAGAAATGCAGAGCACCGTATACGATGTCTCCAAAAGCATGCTGAGAAAAGGATGTTTGAGGATGTTTGCAAGGAAGCAATGCCGCAAATGGAGTATCAAGAGTGGATAGTACGACAACGAAACGTATCGTACTGTGGTATGTCTCGGGGCACAATTTAAATGCGAACACATCCCTTCATTCTTCAAAGTCACACTTTGTCCACCTCCATTCGCTCGCAGACTTTGCCCTGTAGGCACGATAAGAAAGTCAAACCTCTATGTAGTAAGCTTGATTATCTGACAGAATTATAGAACCGAGTTTTGGAAGATATTAAAGGAAAGACCATTAGCTGCCAAAAGCCTTCTTCTCGATTTCTTTCATCAACTAAGAGTGACAAAAACCAAATACCCCGATGGGCATCCTCATTGTCTACACTATCTGATTTGATCGATGGAGCATCCAAATCTCCATACAAGGAAGTCGACATGACTGATAGTCGTAGGAAAAAAGACGATTATGGGTTAATCTGTTGGAACAAGAGCGGCATCGCCATCAAACATCAATTACGGGTTGATACTGCCCTGAATTATAATTACACTGGGATGTCTCGTCAAGGCCGTCTGTCACCTTTGGAGTGCATTGCCTCCTTGACCATTCGCCACCTTCAACTCGTCGAATGTTATGGTCTCGCTCCATTTAATAGGGCAGGTTTACTCGTTTATCTCTTTATCGCTAGTTTTCTGCTGTGCATGTAAAGAAGCAGCCAGTGCCAGTCGCAAGGCCGGAGAAATGCAGAGGCCCTATGCCGCTAGCAACCTTGGTACCAAGTCGTAGAACAGCACAGATTGTATTGTTTGAATAAAACCCTATGGGCTTTACAAGATGTCTTAAATGCGAATTAAATGTTAAAAAGGAAAATGGTCTTTCTTGAGTTCTAGCGGCAGGTATGAGAAGATTCGTGTATTGCAAAACGATACCATTGGGTACGCAGGATTCAGAAGGGCAGCCCGAAAGCACCAGGTCTTTATGAAGTTGCCCTTTAAAGCACTTGATAGTGCTTGTGGCCTTAAAATTAGGTCTATTTCACTCCTTGTTCATGGATTTTGAAACAAAAACCCTTTCAGGCGCGAGGAAGACTTTAAAGCTGACATCTTCTGGCAGACCACGATAGGAGATGTTCTTCACTTTCGTGGAAACCCCATCTCGTCTCGATATTGAGTGTGGTCCCACGAGACTTTAGCATTTCAAACAGACTGATTGTGAGCCACTTCAAATTAGCTCAACGTGCACCCCAAGAAGTCTTCCACCGCATTGCAGGTAGACATCATCCAAATAAGACAGATAATGGCTTAGCTATGGCAGCAGAACCAACGCCGCAGAAATGGACAACTTGAAGTCAGCGGAAACACGACAGTTCTCAGTCAACATACTGACTGTGGCATAGCCACTTTGTAAAGTGGCTGAAGATTCGGCCATAGAGCCGACTTTTTACCGTCGAATTAGGTCTCGGCACAGCAATTCAGGCAGTTTGGGCCAAAAGCCGTTCGAGACGGGAGGAACAAAAGCAGTATTGAGATCTTCAAAGACATTCATACCGGAACACTGCGAACATCCGCCGTGAAAAAGTCATCTTGTCCTGAAATTGGGTCTCGTCTCTACAAGTCATGTGGCATTTCAACCAGATTGAGCAGTACACGTCTGAAAGCATCCCAATACATAACGTATGTGGTTTTATAAGCAGTCAAATCAGCCTGTATTGCAACAAGACAGATATGTTTCGAGATTGCCCGAATCAACAACACGAACCTTGGCACGTCGAATCCAGCTCTCTCACGCAGCACTTCAGTAGATCAGCCGTTCGAGATTAATCTCTGCACCGTTCCGTAATGAATTGGCAGGAGAAATCGCTCTCCTATCGACGAAGACACGACATTACGTCCAATGTTGATATTTTGGCCAACAGCGTCATTTGACACCTTTCCACTAAAAAAAGCAATATTTAACTAGTAGAGCATTCAAACCCTCATAATCCAACTCGAAAACACGTCTTTTAACTCCTTGTTTGGGGACTGTATCCCCCTTTATTCTGGATTAAAACTGAACAAAATTGTGCCTTCAACTCCCAACATCCAATCCAACTAGCATCCAATAGAGGATTGGAAAGACGGTCTGTAGAAGCAAGGGGCCGAGCTCCAGACCACTGCTGGTATGTATACATAGCATGTCCCAGTGATTCCAGCCTGATTTGAGACTGGTTTTTCTACTTGCCGTCAACTCACTCACATTCTGTTTTCGTCGATTCAGGCCATCTCTGTAAGGACTCTGGACTGAACGACTCTCCCAGCTATGGATGGAAACCGAACCACTCAGTGACCATCCACTCCTCTGCATGTCGTGTCTTTCCCAGCAAGACATGACATCAAGTGTGGTTGCTCCATGCCAACGGAGTGTAAAAACTGAATGGATCTATGACGTACTCCCACCGTCAGCAGAAGGCAACTGCAAGTAGTGACCATTAGCACGAGATGATGCTGTCTCATCGTGCCTTAAACACTCTTCCGCCTCGTGAGCCTGGGCATAAAAGCCAAAAGTCCTTGGTTAGTGCTCGGGTCATCGACTCGGTTTAGTTTATCTGAGCCTTGTAGTCTTTGTCAAGCGAGGAGGCGTCAAGGAATGGAGTGGATCCACGTTTACGTGGTTGGGTGTCTAGTACTGATGGTAGCTAGCCCATAAAAAACCTCAAGTACCTCAACTCAGGCCAGTATAGTCGTTTTGTTGTGTATTGCTACATTGACATTATGTATAGGTAATGCAGCCAATGCCGGTCCCAAGCCCGGGCAAATGCAGAGGGGCTATGCTACTTACAGCTTTCGCATCATACAGCAGATTTGTACAGAATATATTGTTTGAATAGAATTTGGTTGAACTTTACATGATGTGTTTGTTGCGAATCAGAGGTTAGCAGTGAAAGATAACGTCTTAGCGTTCCAGCGGTACAAGCAATGAGACGATTCTCGTACTCAAACGAACCCGCACACAGAGTGTTACATTGGGCACGCGGATTCACATGGGCATTCCTCAAGCACCAACTCTTTATTAGGCTGCCTTTCAGCCGACTTAAACGTCAGTGTTCCGTACAATTAGACTCCGCGTTCTTGTAACTTGGGCTAAACGCCTTCCTGACGTGAGGAAGATTTCAAACTTGAGATCTGAGGAGACCGATTTCCTGACCACTGGTTGCGCTTCTGCGAAACCCCATCTTGTCATGAAATCGAGTCTCGTCTCAAGAAGGCCTTGAGCATTTCAAGGTACTTGACACTGAAGCCCTTGAAACCGTACTTTATAAATTTGTAACTGAGGCGAGCGACAAGACACCGTTCGCTTCTAATAGAGACCGAATAGCGTGCCACAAGCAGGATATTATCGATTGACGGGACCCAATTCACCGGTTACAACCATTCAAAGGAGCGATCGCTTAGAGCAAAGTGCTGCGAAAAGAAAACCGTCTTGATGCATACCAAAAGCTTCAAACACGCACCCCAAGCTCATTTCTTAACAAGACATTAATAGTAAACAATATAATGAGGTCAAATATACTATGATATACAAAAAGTTCAATGTTTTACAAGTGTTCTTCCAAGGTGCCCGCCCTTGCTGTTCTTAAGCAGCGACCTTCCGCTTCATCGCATCCATCTCCTCCGCCAACAAAGCCTTCTCCTGAAGCAGCCTCGTGGCATCACTATGAGCCTGCTGTAGAGCTTGCTGGTCTTGTTGATGGACACGTCGGGCTCTCGATAGTTCCTGAGTTAGCCGTTCTACTTCGGATTGGTTCAGCTGGAGTGCTTGTCTTAAATTATCAGTATCTGGTGAAGATGCACCATCAGCTGGGGTTGCTGATAGTGTCGTTTTGCCGTTTAGAGAGCGCCGTAAGGTATCGTTCTATTGGAAGGACAAAAGCGGTGGTCAGTGCTCGATTTGTATAGCTTGCGAAACCTTTTCTTCGCTCTTGTAACAGTAAATCTTACATCCTTTTGCAAGGCAGCCAACTGCCGTTCCACATTCTCCTTTCCAGACTGAGCTGCCGCCGCCGCATCCTCAGCAGCAACTAACTTCCGCCTCGTATCTTCAGTTACAGCCCGTGCATCAGTCAAAGCCTTTTGCAGCTCGTCTACACGTTGAGACGCCGTCGACGCTGCCCGTTCAGCATTAGCTACATCTAAGGCAGCCTGTTTCGTAGCACGTGCCAGTGCTTCGGAATGCTGCGACTTGAGGTATTCGAGATTCTGGTTATAGGTCTTGGTGGTTGACTATGGGCGAAAAGATAAGAAAAGGTGTTGTAGAATTGGATAGCAAAAAAAAAACTTGTCTACTATCGAGATACATACCTCCAGTTTGGCCTGCAACTCCCCATCACCTAACGGAATACCTCGCTTAGGTCCTCTCATCTCCTCTTCCAATCTCTTCTCAGCCATAAACACTCGTCGTCTCGCATCGTCCAATTCACGATCTTTAATATCCAGCCTCCTCTTCACATCATCCAGCTCCCGGTCCAGACCACTATTACCACCTTTACCATAACTACTTGAATCCAAATCAGCTTTCAAATTATTAAGCTCAGCTCTTAATTCAGAGGCTTCTCGTTCAGCAGCATCAGCTCTGGCTGAAGCCTGATCAGCATAAGTCCTCAATGATTCTTCCACAGACGATGGCATTATAGGCGATCCAGAGGATACGGCTTGAGACACTGCTTTACGTGCTAGTTCCTCTTTAGCATTATTAGCAGCTCGTAGTTCAGCTCGTAAACCATCACATTCCTGAGTCAAGACATGAATACGACGTGTTTGACTCTCGATTTCAGAATTCAATCTAGAAATCTCCGAGTTTAACTTCTGGTTTTCCACCTCCCGTGTCCGCGACAACGAATTACTACTACTATTATTAAGACTTTCAGCCTGCGACGAAGCCAAAGCATCCATAGTCTTCTTCAGCGCCCGATTCTGATCCTCCAATCTAGATATCTCATCACTCAGCTCCTTTATCTTGACACTCTGATCACCAGCACCTCGTTCATTCTTATTCTTCATACTGTTATACTCTCCCTTAATACGATCCAGTTCTTCCTTGACTGAAGACACTTCTTCGCGAGACGCACTCCATCGAGCTGACACTCTCATCAGCTCGTCTTCAGTGGCCTTGGTAGTGACTCGTGACGCTTGCAGCTCTGCTCTCGATACATCTGCATCGTGAAGAGCAGTCTTTAGTGAGTCCTTCATTTCTTGCAGTTCTACTTGAAGGGTTTGGGATTGAAGTTGGGTTGATTTAAGTTCGTCCTGTAAGGAAGATATTTGTTTCGAGTTTTCGGTGACGGTCGCTTCGAGTTTGGTTCGCAGAGATGTCAGGTCTGCGACTTCAGTCTGCAGAGCTTTGGTATTGGCGGAGTTGGTAAGGTGTTGGACGACGTCTTTCAGCTCTTGATTCTAAGGAAATGAAAGGATGTGTGAGAAATGTTTTTCTCGAAAGTAGCAAAAAAAATATTGCAAAGTGATTCAACGCATCACAATCAACAGCTACAACAGCATTCAAATACACCTCCCAAACATCACATACTTCCTCTTGAAACCTCTGCAGCTTCTCCACCAGAGCAGTCTCAGCAAACTCTGCTCTCTTCCTCTCATTCAACATCCTCTCAATCTCAGCCTTTGTAACATTATTGGTCTCAATAGCCTTATCACGATCTGCAGTCAGCACCGCAATCGTCTTGACATTAGACGCATCAGCTAGTTTCAGAGCATTGAATTCGGCTCTGGTTGCATCAAGAGCTTTACGGAGCTCATCGAGCCGGTTTGATGCTACCTCCATTTCGGCAGAGTGCAGTTTTTGTAGGGATTCGACTTGGTCGGAATGACGGTCGGCTGCATCCTATTGTACCAGAGGTGAATAGATATGATGTGTGAGTCCAAATGTGACTTGAGGTGTTACAATATATTTTCTTTTTGCGTTACCTGTATACGTCTCTTGACCTCATCCACCGTATACGGATTCCTAGTACCCTCATCTCCTTCATCCATAGATTTAGTTGATCCCAGATGAGCTGTAGAGTAAACTATATCCAATGACCGTCTCAGCTGGTCGTTCTATAAATAAGCAAAAAGAATTGGATTAAGAACGAAGAAATATTTTCGATCCAAGTAAGCACCCCAAATCACATCTCATCAACGTAATAAGCACCCTGTAACTGCAAAAAACCAATACAACGCTGACTTCAAATAACTCATACCTCATCAACAAACATCTGCAACTGCAGCCTCAAATTCCCCAACTCCCTCAACAGCGTCTCCGTCTCAATCCTCGCCTCCAACGCATTCCTCTCAGCAGCACCAGCAGCTTCTCTCGCCTCCATAATCCTTGCAGCAGCCGACTTTTGCTCCCTTACTCGACTCTGTTTGACACTCTCAGCATCAGCAAGCCCACGATCCAACTCTGAGCTAAGTCTCTGTATATTCAGCTGCAGCTGCTCGACATCAGCAGCATGCTGTTCCGTCATTTGTCGTATAGTGGACTCGTATTCGGAGACGGCGGTAGCGTGTGCTAGTTTATGAGTCTCGGTTTCCTGTTGGGCTTTGGCAGCCATCGAGGCGTGTTCGGCGGTTATGGATTTGGCGACTTCAATGTCTCGCTGGGCATCTGCTTGGCCTTCTGCGAGTTGTTTGGCGAGGAGGGCACGGCCTTCTGCAAGTTCTTTGCGTAATTGTTCTTGAGCTGCAGCGAGATCAAGCTTCATTTGTTCCTGAGCTTGTATGAGCTCAGCACGGGCCTTATCAGCTTCGGCGTGAGCCTCGACGGCTGATGCTAGAGCAGCTTCTTTAGATTCGATTTCGGTTTGCAAGAGTTGCTTTGCAGCCATTGATTGCTTTTCAGCTGCTGCTCTTGATTCTTCCATGCTGGCCATCTCTTTGCTCATTATTTCACACTGAGAGCGTAGTGATACTGCATCTCCCGTCGCGGCAGTAATTGCAGCTTGAGCAGCCTAGTTCAAAAACGAAATGTGAGCATTCAAGGACCGTTGCTTCGACTTTTTTTTGCTACAACCCCCAACAAAAAAATCTCCTTAATCATTTGTCTCACACATACCGTCTTGTAAGCCTCCATCTCCGCAGCATGATGCTTCCTAATCATCGCAATCTCCTGCACATATTTACTCTTGATACTCCTAACCTCCTCCTGACTACTTAGCATCTGCTCCGCCAATTTGCTCTTACACTCCTCAAGCTCCTTCGCAGTCGCATCCCACCCCTTCCTAGCCTCCAGCATCGTGCTCTGTCCAACCTCAATCGCATTCATACTCTGCTCCAACTGCGACTGCAGTCCAGCCATCTCAGCCTGTAACGTAGCAATCCGTTCCTGTGCCTGCGCACGCTGTTGGGCGGTACGCGAGAGATCGTCACGGGCGGATCGTGAGGAGAGTTGTTCGGACGCGTTGGAAGACCATGATTTTTCAAGGTCGGATTTCAGGCGGTCGATTTCGAGTTGGAGACGGGATTGTTGATCTGTGTGTTGGCGGGAGAGGCCGCCGACTGTCACGGCGTGCTCGCGTTGGAGGGCGGATATTTGGTTGGAGTGGGTGGATTTGGTTGAGTCGAGTTCTCGTTTGACGGTTTCCAGGTCGGCAGTTAGTTGCTATATTATTGGACGCGTTAGTGTGTGACGATATCATTTTAAGCCGTGTGATTTCGAGTGAAGATAACGCAGCTTCAGTAGTGCACTTCGTGCTTCAGATCTACTTCTTTTTGGCATACTCCAGAAACACTGAGCAATCATGGTAAACCCACCTCAATCTTACGCTTCAACTCTCCATTCGGATCAGCTCTACCTCTCGGCCGCTCATTCGACAAATCCATAGGCGACTGCTGTCCTGGGTTTCGACTATTACTACCACTCCGGTCTGGCGAGCCATTGCCACCGCCACTCTGAGGCTCATTCGAGAACTATAATAAGATAATTATCAGTATCACAGATGTGGTTATGGACCTGGATACCAGTTCTCATCGACAAACAAGCGTGGGTTTTTTTGTCTCCTTCCAGAAAACTGACATCATACCTCATCAAGCGCAGGCGGCACCTGATACCCCGGCGGCAGCTTCCCCCCACCACTCAGCGCATCAATCCCCTCCTGCAGCATATTAATAATCGCCAGATACTCTTTAGCTTTGGCCGTATTCCCAGCCTTCCTCGCACCCTGCCCGGCCAACTTGTACGAGTTCTGGCGCTGCTGCAACTGATGCAGCATAATCGGTGGCGCCGACATGTTCTCTGGCGTGCGTGGACGGCCACCAGGTGTAGTATTATTTAGGTTTAATGGTTGCTGCGTCCGTGAATCTCGAGATGGTGCACGTGTAGCTGCTACAGGTGACGGTGATCGCCATCGCGAGTCGTTGGTGTTGCCACCATTATTCATATTAGCAGCCGTGTTTATATTATTCGGTGCGTTTGGGCGAGACCTGTTCCTCATCATCCGTGGCTGTCCGTTACCGTCCATACCACCATTCCCACCACCACCACTTCCATTATTATGCCCATCATTATCACTCGGTCTCGAAGCACCTCTTACAGGCAGCACAAGTCCATTCGGTGATGTCGGTGGTGGCAAGTTTCCTGATTTTGTAGCTCCAGCTGCTGCGGCTGCGACTGCAGATAATGCCGATAACGCACCACCGCTCATTGGCATACGTCCATCATTCATATTACTAGTGTTATTCATCTGTTGTTTGTTTCGAGGAGGAGACCGTGATGGGATTCGGTTAACGTCTCCTCCACCACCACCACGTTGACCAGGTCTGCCTGATACGGGAGACTGGTTTGGAGTTGGCAGGCCGCCACGTCCCTGCTGTCTGTTCATCGTTTAAAGAGGTCAAGAGGACAAGGTTCTGCCAAAACGATTGTGTGAGGGGAAAGTTGAGCTACAAATTGCAGCCTGCAAGCGCAATGTGTTAGTAAAGTAGATGGTAGAGGAATAAAGGAGCTTACCGAGACAATAAAATGCAATCAATGTGGTGCGCTACTTTGGGGCGATTGGCATACGAAGTGCTTGTTTTTGGCTCTGTGTGTGGGGATTGAAGGAAAGACGACAAGAGCGGAAGTGTAAAAACGGCAGGAGGAAAAGGAGAGTTGAGAGAGAGTGGGCAGGTTTAAATACACATTCGCATCGCTTGATGTCGGTGACAAACACGTTCGAACGCGTAAAACCATTATCAACTATTACCTCTAACACTATTTTTTCTTGTCTTTCAAAAAATTAAACACGTTGGGCAGACTTGACGAAACTAGCTTCAACGACAGTTACATGAACAGGATCTCCACGTTCATGCCTTAACGGTGCATTCGTACGGCCTGATAACACAAAAACAACTCGATCAGAGACTAGTCATTACAATGCTAGCACAACCTGACCACATACCATTAACAACCAACAATGGATTCTCCGACTTGAGCGTAGCTTCCGAAACAGAAATACCATCCAGGTATTGTTTCAACACGAATCTCAACTGGTTGTTTTCCTCTTGTAGTCTTGCCTTGCGTCGTTCGAGTGCTAGTCGATCGAGAGCAGCTCGATTGTATCGGTAGTGGAATTTTGAGAGGAGGTGTAATTCCTGTACATAGTAGTATTGTTGTTTTGGTTAGTGGGGGCTGAAAGGTTGATTTTCAAACAGGCAAAAAAGACAACAGTTTTTGGGAATGCTCCGCACAACATCTCAAACTCTCTAGCTCACCTCAATAGAAGCCGAAATACCGTCTCCACTTACACCACTAGCAGGTGCCAAACTCTGCTCATCAACCTCCTCCTCATCACGACCACCACTACTGCTCCCATGCACCAATTCGGGCCTTCCAAAAGGCCATATCCTTTCCTCCTCACTCTCCATCCTCGAATTCATTTCCGCCAACTTGATAATCCTCTCTGCTTTATCGACACGCAGTCTCAGATTCTTGATGGTCTTGTTTGACATTACACTTAGATCTGCCAGTCGTCTCTTTTCACGTTCTCGAGATAGTGACATGCTGAGTTTCATGGTCTGGAATTGGGTTGAGATCTTTTCGCGGGTTTCGCGGAGGCCTGAGAGCTGGGATTCGTGGGTGTGGATTATGTGGGTGTGTTTTTGTTTTAGGGAGGCGATTGATTCCTGTTTGGTTGGGTGTGAGAAGGTTGGGATGAGTATACACGTAGCTTTGGAATGAAGGTGATTCCAGCCGAGCAAAAAAACCGAGGTAACTGGAAGTGGTGAATGCATCTCTCATGACACGACTACCTCTCAGCACTCATCATCCTCCACAACAATTATAGCTTACCTGTAACTTGGCCAATTTACGCATCTGGAAATCAATCTCTCTAGCATTCCTCATATCCTTCGCCTTCAATTCCTCAAACTGCTTCTTTCTCTCTTCAGTAGCAGAATTGTACGAATTCAAGGCGGATTGGAACTGTCTCCATAGATCTTCAACTGTTCCTTCTAGCTGGATTCGTAGAGCGTGCTTCTCTTCCAGGTTCTAGTATTGAAAAGTGGCTCGAGTGAGCAACAAAACCCTCGACAGTATTTCAATAGGTTCAACATCACTACCTTATTCTTCACATCATCCTTAACCGAACTGAACTCATGTCTGGAGTCAGCCTCCGCATCGCCAAATTCCACCTGCATCCTATTCAAAATCCCCATAATATCATTCTTGGCTTTCGTGTGTTTCATTGTGACATCCATCCTCTCATTCTCAAACTCGACTTCCAGGAATGCGACATCTGCATTGAATGTTTCTTGGAGATGGGTGAGCCGGTCTTCCTGTAGCTGGATGAGGTCATCGACATTGTTGAGGTGGGATGATAGGGCGTTCGTGTATTGTTCTTCGGCTTCTTGTAGGTCGCGGTTTAGGTTTGAGAGGGCGGCTGATTTGAGGTCTGAGTGGCGTTGGTGTGTTGCTGAGAGGACTGATAGTTGGTGGGCTAGTTCGTTGGATTTGGCTATGGAGATGTGTTGGTGAGCAAAAAAAAGCAGCCAGATAACGTAGCTGGATGCATGCACAACACACAAGCATCACGACAACTTGATACATTCAACAATCAAAATGACATTCCAACACAACTTGACTCTTCCGAGCATTTGATTCATAGATCAAACAAGCACAGCACACTAACCACACGTACCAGTTTTCATGATATCCCTCCATTTAGTCTGCAGCTTGATGGTATTAATCTTGAATGCGCGTTCCTCAAACGACACGTCCTCTTTCAGCTTCTCCAAAGCAGCTTCGTGCTGAAGCCTTAATGTTTCCACATCTTCGCCCTTACCACCTTTCTTATCCTTGGATTTCCCCTTCTTGCCCATGATTCTGACGCGTCTAATAGATTAAATAATAAATATGTTGATGAATGTGAGTTGGTTATTGCGAGTGATGTGTGCTTGAATCAGTTGAGAACATTCATGTTGACGGAGATTTTTTAGAGTGGCCAAAAGAAACAAATAGGAATAGGAAATGATACGTACAGCCTTGTTCTCGATACGTCCACAGGCTGGATTGCTGCCTACTGCTAGTAGACTGTCTTCCATCATCCGACACAATTCGTCAACTCCACAAACAGATGAAAGCAAGCTGCCGGTAAAGGTCGTTCCGGGAGAGATATTCGAAGCTGACCATGTATCTGGTAACGTACAATATAAATTGATAATTGGATGTTGTATTGGTAGAAGGCCTGGTTGGCATCTTCATCAAACATCTTGCAACATATGCTCAAACATCACACGTTATTGACACTGTATTTCTATACTTTCAACAACAGGAGTACCAACGGAAATATCACATCGTACAGTCCGTATCTTCTCTCCTGCTAGAACCGCCATGCAGCAAGGGACAAATAAGACGGATGACTGGCGTATCGAATTCGAGGTGCAGGACAGATGGGAGAATCCATTGATGGGTTGGGCTTCAAGGTACGAAATCACATTACGAGATGCAGAATGATTTGGTGGTAGTGTGAATCAGGTTATGGGATGGTAAACGATACAAGACGGTGCGGTGTGAAGAGTCTGGGTTTCAGCAGCTTCAGCAGAGTCAACAAGAGGGAATGAATTCAATTTGACATATGGACTCGCTGGGATTTTCGAATCTCAGGTTCAGAAGTCGAACACTCAGACAACGTGGAGAAAATATAACTTCATACCTCAACCTTCTAACATACTTCCTCTCTGTAGTGGTGATCCAGTACAAGCAACCACAACCAAATTCTTATCAAAGGAAGATGCCATCAGATTCGCTGAACGACAAGGCTACGACTACTTTGTCGAAGAGCCCCAAGTGCCTAAACCTAGAAAGGCAAACTATTCTGAAAACTTCAAGTATAACCCAAACAAGCTGAGATATATCAAAACAAAGTAGATTTAAGTGTACTGTGGGTTGAAATGCTGGTTGTAGTTGAATAATAAAGAGAATTTACATGGTTGGATGGTAACTTTGGTGCCAAGTGAAGGTTGCCAGCAATCAGAATTACTGTTAAACGAAGAATCTGGTGGCAGTTGTTGTGTGTCTTCCGTCGAGAATAGAGATGCTCTGGAATGGAATAGAATGGAAGTGGAAGTGGGATTCACGTTTTTGATGACCCAATTCCTGTTATTGTTCGATTCCATTCTTGGAATCTAGAATCGCGAAATCGCCTTTGGCGATTCCATTCCATCGAAATTCATGTTCGTCAATTCTTGACCGATTCCTGACCGATTTATTCTTTGCGCTAAACTGATTTGAAAGAGTTTCCGGCTTTGGCAGCGTCGCCACAGGTGTCGGTCGGAGGTCACAATTAGAAAATCAGATTATATTCGCACGGGGTACAATATACGTAAGCAACGGTTAACCAGATGATGTAAAACAAATGTCACTAAAGCACTTCCTGAGCCTCGTAGCAAACGTTGTGTCATAAGTAGCTCGATCCTCCACATTTCTGTTAAGCTTCTAGTCGTCAAACTGATCCAATTTTGATAGCGCCTCTTGACGAGCCAAAATAGCTGTTAGAAACGCAGCATAACTACAAAGAAAAGTTGAATACTGTCCTTTTTCCACAATCATTGCTTTATTTTACCTCCAACTTAAATCAACAGCACCAGTCATAAATCCAGTCTCCCTGTTCATTTCTAGTAAAACGACAGTTTGTTAGAAGCACTTTCGTGAGTATTACTAGTAACCTTCTTACCTTCGGAGAGATGACCATCAAGTGATGCATGCTTCCGTACACGCGCTACCAAAGCTTCAGCAGCATCAAACAATTTGCTTCTACTGAAAACACCTCTACGTTGATCCGCAATATGTGGCTCCTTTAAACTCGCCTTGTAGTAAAATTCGGAGACAGCCAGAGTGGCTAAGAACCACGCTATAGGTGACAAAGCATCAAGCAGCTTTTTGTGACAATTGGGTATTGATTGTAACTTACGATTTCCCTGACTGTTTCCAGTGCCGTCATATGTGTCTTCAGGATAGCGACCAAGGGCTGGGCCAATGTCAGGGTACCTCCGGTTGATAGGATACAAAGAAGCCATAGTGTTCGCTAACTTTGTAGCAGTTTTAAATACAAGATCCATTCCGTTTGGAAAGACATCCTGCGCACAATTGCCAGCTTGTATTACCCCCAGAATAGTAGAAACGTCAAGGTTTGAGATCTTGTTTGTCCATCCTGTTACGTTAACAGTGGCTAAAATGTGATCTGATGCTAGATGTTCGCTTTGAATAACTTTTAACAACTCTTTAGCTTGGAGCGAATAGTACGTTGTAGAAACCGTGTCCAAGAATGGCAATGAGGAGCTACGAGATAATGCAGCATACATGACCACCCGTGTATGAAAATGGTTTCCGTAGACTTCCTCCCATAGATCGAAACAAGGTTCCCGCCATACTTTTGCAACATATTCTAGGTCTGTTTTTATCAAGGGAGCTAATTTAGTTAAGGAGGAGGGGCCATAATTCTCATAAAACTTGATGAATGCTAGGGCGCGCAAGGCCGGGCCGTCATTTTGAGGTCTTCCCCAGTTTGCAGTATATGCTCTCCCATCCTGCAGAATTCGGGCCGGAAGTTATAAGAATGGAACATTTGAGCAATTTTTTTTTCGAATGACTCACCACATTCCATTTTGGTTCCCCTAAACATTGACAGGGGGTTTCTGTCATAGTTTGGATCTGCAAATTGAAGTCCGCCATTTTTAATATGACTTGGGGTATAATATCGTTTGAGCCTCTCTCCCGTATCCACAAGTCAGTCAGAGCACTCGTGACTAGTGCTGCATCTCTGACCCAGTGGAAACTAACGAAAATTAACAGTGAACGAAATTTCGTAAATTATCCCACAAACATACACGTACTAGTAGTCTGGAGAACATTTACTCGGAGAAGCGAGCACTGCACCATTCAATAACACATTCTCCAGCAGCAAAGTTTTAGACGCGTTGAAATGATTCCACACCCAACCATCATCTAGTCCAACCACTAAATATACCAGGCATAGCAAGATCATTCCACATCTTATCGTCATAACTGCGCAAGCAAACGAATGTATTTTGCTTAGTCTTTTAACTCAGGTTGCAACCCAGGTTAAACAATGTAGTCTGTATAATAATGACTCTTCTGGTTGCAAACAAATCCACGTGAACGTGATTACACAAAGGTCTACGTGGAACATGGTGCGTCGTTCTGTCTTTCAACAAATTCAACTCTCATGGCTGATTCTGATTCAACGGAAAACTACGACGTTGTCATTATAGGCTCTGGAATCGTCGGCGCAACCTACGCCCGGAGCCTCCTTCAAAATGTCCCTTCTCTCCGTGTTTTGATGTTGGAGGCTGGGCCAAAACAAGGAAAACATATTGGTGAACACTTGAAAAACAGGTTTGCTGCTTATTTTCATCTCCATTTCATCGTAGTGCTGGAGTCTTTCTTTAATGTGTTGTTTATAATTAGTTTCCGTTATCAGACGGATATTACATCGTTTACCCACGTTATCTTGGGTCACCTGGAAACCCTTTCCACTCCAACTATCAGTGGTGTTGCAAGCCTTCAGCTAGACCCCATTTCGTATCACGTGGAAAACGCAGACGAATACTGCCGGTTCGTGTCACACAACATTTGGGAGAATTGAACCGATTACTAATCGCTGAAATTAGATTCGTGAATAAGAGTGGAAATCCTGAGCAACTTCCATGGGAGAATCTGCCTGCAGCAGGTATTAAATCCAGCTGAACTAGCGGCTACTAAAGTATTCTGATTTTCAGATCTTTTTCTCGGTCAGCCGTCACAAGATGTGTGGGTGGTATGGCGACTCATTGGACTTGCTGTACCCCACGACCTTTCGGGGAGGAACGGATATCTGAAGATTTGATTTCTGGAGCAGAGTTGGACGCTCTTCTGTCTGACGCCGAAAAGATCGTAAAAACGGGCAACTTGAGAGAGTATCTATCTGCCAAAGACAACATTTTGCAAACCATCGTGCTGGAAACATGCCAAAAAGTGTATGAGAGTGAAAGAGCTCTTCAACCGCCTTACCGCCCAATCGGGCCGTTGCCTTTAGCTGCTGAGCCTCACGGGAAACTGATTTGGTGGACTGGCACAGATACTGTCCTGGACCCAGTCTTGGAAAACAAATCCCTCACGATAAAGGTACGCGTCAGCTCGATAAACTTCTTGACTACATAGAAACCTGCATGTTTTTGTGGTTAGCACGAGCATTTATGTGTCAAGCTCAACGAATTGAACGGCACGGTACATTCCGCTCTTGTAAGAAATCTGGAAACGGACCAGGAATATCTAGTTTTTGGCAAATATTTCATTGTAGCTGCTGGAGCAGTACTTACTCCGCAGCTTCTGGTCAATTCCTCGTTGGGAGCCGACCTTCCTCTTGGATGTTATCTATGCGAACAAACTGTCGGGTTTTGTCAGGTAATGGTAACTGATCGGGCTTGTTTAGTGGCTCACCCTTTCATGCCTCTAGATTGTTTTAAAGCATGAGTTGATCAAGGGGATTCCTAGTGATCCACGGTTTGCCACAAAAGCAAAGCGTCACATGTTAGAACACCCCGAGGATCCTCTCCCCATCCCATTTCGTGAACCACAGCCTCAAGTGAGTGAATGAAATCCGTTTCAATGGAATATTAATGGTAACTAAATGATTGGTCTTCCAGGTATGGATTCCTTTTTCCAATGAAAGACCCTTCCATTTCCAAGTTCATCGGGACGCTTTTCACTATGGAGACGTATCTGCCAATATTGATGACCGGCTTGTCGTGGACATTCGCATGTTCAGCTACATGAAACCTAGACAGCAAAATCGGGTTGTATTCAGTAAGAATATCAAGGATCGCTATGGGATGCCACAACCCACATTTAAGGTGGGAATGTGCGATGATGACCGTGATCGACATCACCGCGGCATGGAAGAAATGCTTCGTATAGCCATGGCATTAGGTGGTTTTTTACCTGGTGCGGAGCCGCGCACGATGGATCCAGGATTGGCACTACACATAACTGTAAGAACTTCGTTTGACTCTACTTTGATCGGAGTAATATTTATTTACGTGGTAATATAGGGGACGTGCCGAATTGGCAAAACCAAATATGATTCTGTGGTGAACACAAATTGCAAAGTTCATGGATATAGCAATCTGTACATTGGTGGCAACTCTGTGATACCAACTGGTGCGGTTGGTGCTCCACTTGTCTGTGATATTTGTTTCTAACATTCCCTGATATGCAGGTACGGCATGCAATCCAACTCTCACTTCGATTGCGCTAGCTCTCAAAAGTGCCAGGTCGCTAGTGCAGGAACTCTCAGTTCTCCCTAAGCTGTAACGCCCGTTTTGCTTTATACGAATAGTATACTTCATCCCCAAGAAATTACGTATGTGCCTGAAGCCTATTGTCTAGTCGTACAAATAAATACTTTTGGAATGTCATCCCTCTTGTTGCAGCTAAATTGAAGATCTTCAGCTGTAGAAAGTTGTTCACGCGGTTGAGAGAATATGTAATAGGTGGAGAGACTTCACAGATTCTTTTTAAATACGCATGGATAGGGATAAAGTCAACAAATCTCGCACACAGGTCATAGGAACGGTGCGACCGTTGGCTACGGATAAACCGACCGCTACCTAAGTTAGGTTGAGCTCAACCGACAAAAGGGGAGGTCTGCAGGAGTTCATAAGTCTTCTGTGCGTCTCACATACCTCGCACCATACAAACCACCAAGGCTATAACCCTCGTAACAGGCTTGTACACATTCTCAGCAAAGTTGAAAGTACGTCGACAAATGATGCTCCCGGGAGTTACTCCCCATCTCACTCCAGTCCTGTAGCGTCGAGTTGTCGATTCGCTGGAGTCCAGATGTATGATGCCCCCATATGTAATATAGAGTGTAAGGCATCTTGAGTTGTTGTTGCTAGAGCGTCTGAATACTAATGGATCCAAAAAAGTGGTGTGTAAGTGCATCATCAACATTACGTCAAGCGATACGCAAATATCAAAGACCCACAACTGCCAAAAGTGTCGACTTTCGTTACGATACTAGTCTAGTATTGTGATTGTGATCCGTATAAAGCTCCTGCTACCCATATATGAAAAAACGAATGCGATTTTGCAATTGCGATATTTGATACTTTGGCCTGAGACATTGCCCTCCATTGCAACGAGCCTGGCAAAAAAGTATCCCTTGGTCACTATATAGGCTCGAAAGCTTCACTCGAACAACCATCACATCCATGACACCCACATAACAGCAATATCTCACTAAAAGTCACACCAGGATGACCGAAATCCTTCCAACCCCCTTCTAATATCAGATTCAAAAGTTCAGAATCCAATGCTAAGGCATCTGGTTGGCTGATCTATAGCATAGCATCTTCATTAACGGTGACGGAACCGGGAGGGCTGCGAATGCCGCTGCAACATGGATTCTTAATGGTGTTGCTCACGGGCTCGTATTGCTAATGCTGTCTGATTGTGGATCATGATCGGAACGAAGACGGTGAATGTTGATTAAAAGTGACCAGCTTGACCTGCAGCGATTGCTGCGACGGATCAGTCCAAAATCGGAGATGGTATTGAGTACAGGCATAGTTGTTGCAGTGACAACATCGCCAACAAACACGTCGTGGGATGCCGATTCCGACAAATCCCACAGTTCTTGGATGATGCTCAAAAAAGGGCCACCTTCACCTTCAATACTGCCAAAAGTAATCGAAACAAAAACCCAAAGTTCATCCACAAACTCGACTGATGCAAACTTTCGTATACATACAACCGCAAATCACCTACTTCACGTGAAACTAGATCTATTTCAAACCACTTTCTCTATCGACGTTATCATTTTACTACATCTCGGACACGGAAACGTCGGATCTGCCATCAACGCTGACCTAAACCACCAAAAAAAATCAGCCCCATCATCCTGAAGTATGATTGCAAACACACCACAAACACTCACTTGATACAATAATAACAATACATATGCCCACACGAAGTCACATACGGCGTATGCACCTGCGACGACCTCACGTTCGCCGAGTTGGCAAAACATATGGCACATATGCTTGGATGGAGGTTGACGTCTGATGACGATTTGGGTGAGAGGGTGCGTAGGATGGTGTTTTTGAGTGATGAGAGGTTGATTAGAGGGACGAGGTATAGGAGGAATTCCTGTGTTATAAAAGGCGTTGAGGAATGAGATGAGCGAAAAAGAAGGCACAAAGCGATGTCAAAGTATACATACGGTGAATGCATGCCACACAAGCTGCCGATTCATAAACTCGAACGACACCTGTCTCGCCATCTCACGACGAGTATACACAAGCCTCATTGACAGGATTCGATCTATCACTGACCGATACCTATGTTGAGAACAAGTACGTCTGAGTTCAACCAAACAAACCCTGGAACCACACTATGATGACTTTGTCGTGCTTCTTCCATACCTCCCATCATACAAAAACACCAAGAAATTAACCGTGGTGACCACCTTATACACATTCTCAGCAACCTGTAAATACTTCCACACTTGATGCTGCCACGAATTACTCGGCATCTCACTCCATTCCTGTAGCGTTGCGTATCTATTCACTCGAATCCATGCGTATGGAGCTCCGATATGTAGTATCGCGTGTAGTGCCTTTTGGGTTGTTGTTAAGGGTGCGTCCAGCATGGCTGATTCGTCTAAGTATACGAGAGTGTCTTAGCGAGGCTGTTTTGCAAAAAGGAGATACTTGGATACTATAGGCAGGCCAGACGTACATTTTCCAAAATGTCGACTCTCATTCCGATATTTCAAGTTCTGCAACTGCGACCCGTACGAAGCCCCCGTTGCATATATCGATAGATGCGACATGAGGTATTGCAGTATGACTGATACTTCAGGCTGGTACATCTCCTTCCAATGATCCTAGCAAAACAGGTATCTAGCAAAGTACACTGGAAAGCTTCACCCAAACGTCCACTACACTCCACACAACACAAAGATATCAGATCCTCTATCATGCACATACCCCAAAATGCGTAAAAATCCTCCAAAAACCCTCCTGCACCATATTCCCCAATTCCGCATCCAATGATTCAGCATCCAGCTGACTGACTCGCAAGATCTTCATTGGAGGAGACGAGAACAGGGAGGCTGCTTTTGTTGCAATGTCATGGTATCGTGATGAGGTTGTTAATGGGCTGGTGTTGGTATTGCTGTTGTCTAATGTTGATGGTGATGACGTTGATGAAAAGTGGCCAGGCTGTCCTGATGCGATGGGGATGGATGGATCAGTCCAGAATTGGAGGTGCGGAGTGCTGGTTGTGGTAGATGTGGCTGGCTTGTCGACAGGAGGTGCTATATTGTCTGCTGCCATTGCTTGATTGTGGTTTGAGGTTTTGAAGAGTCTTATAAAAAGAAGGGCATTTTATTGAACTGAAAAGAAGGAAGCGTGTATAATGCAGCGAAGAGTATTGGAAGAAAACGGGACTACAATTCTTGATTCATAAGACATTGAAACTAAAAGCGCGTCGATTCACTGAAAAGCCAGAAAGTACGTGAACAACGAGTTTTTATATATGTCCTAAGTAGCACAGAGTCTTCGAAGTTCTATACTACATCCTAAAAGTCTCGATCAAATCACCCAGCACCACTCAGTGCCTTACTTCTTGTTCACACAAATACACATTATATCAAAACAAGCATCACATTCTTTTGCCCCCAAAGTTCTTTTTTATACCATAGCTTCTACTTCTTAGGAGGAGCTCTCTGCAATGGCTCAGGGCAATCAGCAGCAAAGTGCCCAGCCTTCCTACAATTGTAGCATTTGCGGACCCTTTGAAATGCTGGAGTAGCACCACCACCATTAGGACCTCCTGCACCATTAGCACCTCCTGCACCATTAGCCCCTCCTGCACCATTGCTAGCACCCAAAGCCATATTGTTACCACCGCCATTGTTACGAGCTGCACCAGATCCCGCAATGTCAGTCAGTGCACTATCCATTTGAGGACATGATGAAGTCTTGTGTCCAAACAGCCCGCATATTCTACACACTTGATTTGAATCGTCTTCCGTCATTGGCATTCCGATACCAGCAAATGAGAGAGTTTCGGGGATACTGTTGTTGTTGTTGTCATACGGCTCTCGTTTTATAAATACAGTGTTCTGCAGGTCGTATGGTGATATTTGTGGTATCGGTGGTACTATTCCTGAAGGTGCACGAAGTCTACCTCCTAAATCATTCGTAAGTTGCATTCCTACTCCACGTTTGGCGTTGAAGGGTGGTGGCATGTTGTTATTATTGTTGTTCATGTCGTGATTGTTCATATCGTTAATGTTGTTGTTATTGCTGTTGTTGTTATTGATGCTATGATGATGAGCTTGCATGCTACCAGTCAATGGTGCAGCAAGGATATCATCGACACGAAGTTGCTTTGATGCAGGATGTATATCCTCTGATCCGCCTGATGGGAAGGGTCTCTTCATGGCCCCATGGTGTTGCATACCACTACCCGGTTCCGCATTCGTATTGATGTTGTTGTTCGTCATATTCGGCGGCGAGTTATTACGGTGTGCTGGCTGACGTTGCGGCGATAGATGGGTTGGAGTATGACTTGGGGTCACGATATTGTAAGAGTTGGCATGAGTTTCACACCACCTATACACATCCTCCATACTCAATACTAGACTATTGCTGGTACTACTACTACCGTTTATACTACCGCTATTCCAAAACCCATCACCTAGCCATGAAAACACTCCAGTTCTCAGACTTGGTGACACCTTTGATATAAACCTCATAATCTTTTCATCCAAGGACAACATGTGGGAGAATGGCGATATGGCCAGCTTGAAATCATCGATAAAGTCACGTAGATTAGTATAATGCTGAGTGCTATAATGCAGTTCATCGAGTTTGGCAAGAGCTGCATTCCATATGTTGACATTCAGAAACCGTTTTTTAAAGCTAGCTTCAAAGCTCCTCCATGATGATACGGCGTCTTGGTACTCTGCACTAGTGAGCTCATCCTTCCACCATTGCAGAGCCTGGCCCGTGAAGAATGATGCTGCTTCTTTCACTTGGTCATAGTCCTTGTTGTTGGTGCTACTATTGACAGGCGACGATTCGACCCATATTTGGACCCTATACAGCCATAGCTTTATATCTTGGATTGGGATCATTGGATTACCAGAGAAGGTACCTGGATGACATGCGAAATTGGCACCTCGTTGGCTAATGTTGATGTCATCGTGCTGGCGAGCACTATATGTAGAAGGCAAGTCCCGTTCTCGCCCTTGGTCACGACGGTCGGGACCTGGATTATACATTTCGGGCTTGTCTGTATCTCTGCTTGGTGAGGTTTGATGTTCTTTCGTTGGCTGCTAAATGCGATGCTATTCTCGGGCAAAATGGATTGTGTAAGAGAAACTATTCAAGGCTGAAGTAAGTTGTATACATACCAGCAATGCAATGAGAATGAATTGCCCCTCTTTCTCTTTCAGCTGTCAGATTTAAGGTGTGCAAGGTGTTGTGTGGTAGGAGACAAAAGAAAGTTTCGAATTCGAGACCAATCTGGTAACAACACTAGGTTTGAAACAAGTCCAGATACGTGTTTCTTGTTTCCTGACTCAATGGATCGAATGCCAGTGCCATGACACGTTAGAAGACTGTTGTTAGCTATCTGCTGGAATATTCGACGTGATCTGGTGAAGAAGATCACGGCCGATGCAGGACTGATGAAGCATTTTGATGATGATGGACTGAATTTCCTCGTGCCAGGTATGGAATTCACTTGCTCATCTACAAACTTGATGCTCTTTTGACACAACATGCATTTGGCGTGTTACGTTGAACACCAATATTCACCGGACCAACTCACATTTCATATATTAATTACTTGATTTGGATTCGGACGCCAAAATATTTTGGTAAAAGTCGCCATTCGTGTTTGAACCTTTGTGTTTTCTTCAACTTCAACCAGGGAGGCACAGCCAAAAGGACGTTGATTGAAGCAATCTCAGTGGATTTGGAATAGTAGAACTTTGTTGAATTGAGAATCTAAATTCAATACACGTCACTAACGTGACTTCAAACCTATGCAGATATGTCTGATCGAAGAATGCGAAGCCCCCGAGCTTCCAAAGTCTCGCTTGTCGTGGTTTCTTAGTAGCGAGGTGCTCAGTAGCAAGCTCTTCATCTGCACAGGTATCGTTTACCGCCGATAAATCCCTCCAATTTCAACTTCTGTCGTCGACTTGCTGATGTAAAATCACCATTTGTTAAAACTGTACATAACCAAGGACTTGCAGCCCCATCTTTCAATTAAAGCGCCCAGTAATGAATTTATACGAAGTATGTTGGAAGAAGGAGGCCGCCATTCGCCTCCCTCGTGATGTCCTCCTCGTAATATTCGACAACATCAAACTCAGCAAGGACAAGAAGGAACGCAACCAATGTCTGCTCGATCTAGCTCTGGCCTGTCGGGCATTCAATCGACTAGCAATCAGCATAACATATGGACTGGAACTTGTCAGAGTTCTCGATTGAAAAAGGATATGTCTTTAAACCCACCTCGGAATCTGGTATTCTCACCAGTCTCCCCAAAACAAAACTCGTAAAAGTCTGAAGGTGTTACGGCTAGTATCACATTCTATAGGTGCTCTTCCGGATGATTTCTTCAGCTAAGTTTGAGATTCTCACCGATGTAGAGCTACGATGTGATCTGCGTCAAGTGCAGCTAAAATCTCTACGAAATGGCACAACTTAATTTATATACCAAGCAGAAGGCCAACCTCTAATATGACCGACTTACTTGTCGCCAACTCGACAACTCTTGGAAAGCTTGTTATAGATGAGACTCACCACCTTTTGATCGGCCCGTCCTTACCTTATGTAGTAGGTTGACCCATTTACATATTTCAGCATTGAACGCCATCCGTGCAGATCTCAAGGGCATGTTGAGAGGCCATGGTCATCAACTCCACACCATATTTGTAACAGGGGATTTGAAAGACACTGGACTGCTTTCAGAGATTCTGAGCATTGCCACGAATTATCGGTCTTGGGAATCAATTACGATAGGACGGTCACGATTGAAATGATCTCAAACGTCGTTGTCAGTCGACGGAAACTAGGGCAGTTCTATGTTGGCCGCGTAGGATACTGTGATGGTGATGTTTTGATGAAGGCTCTGGACGAGAGACACAATATGGCGCTCAAACCACCATTTCACTCGCAAGTTTCAAGTCCCAAGTTTCTACACCATTGATTCCAACGTCCATAACAAATCTGACACGTAGCAGGATCTGAAGGGATTCCCAAGCAATTTATACCTTCAAACGAGGAATACTGCTATAGCAAGAGAAGTTTTCAATAAATAAATCTGGTGTTCAGTGTGACTACTAGAGGCGTCGCTGTGCATGCATCGTTTGGTCACCATCCATCATCAGCAACTCAGTATCAGAGTTTTGACAAATTGTGGAACAAGCTTCAACCAGACTGGCCGAATTGTAGACCGAGAGCTTCAAGCTGCTTATAATCATCACTTGCAGTCCTTCTAACCTTATAGCTTGAACGGTTTCGAGATTGAATTCTCAACCCAGTACAACTTTTCGTCGACGTGATTTTATAACAACTTGGTATATTGAATATATTCCAAGATATAATAAGCACCATTATTACCTCATCTATCACGCCATTACTCACCGGATATACAGTTGCACTATCTAAAATCACGTTGCAATCTTGTGACACATTGGAGGCCAAACTCAATACGCAATCTCATCGTAAAACTTCGCCCCAAGAATCACATACTCAAGTCCTAATCTAGGTTTTCTCTCTGATTTCACCTCTACATCAAGCAATTCACAATGGGTATGCGTTCACGTTCACGAAATTACTTAGCGTCAACAATACGCGAGTACATTGGCCCTGAGCTTGACAGTAGACTGATGATTTAGTTCTCATATTTTCTTAGGTTTGGAAGACGAATTAAAGGCCATCATCGCAGCTAGCTTTGAAGCTTTTGCCAACAATGATGCTGCATTTGTGGCCAACTTTGCTTCTGTAAGTGTTCTTTGGTACGGTCGTCTGGAAGATTTGAGGGACTGATTTCTTCTTATACTTATGTATAGCCTGGTATTCAAATCCTCTCTCCATCTCGTCACCGGTCACAAATCTAACAAATTTGCGTCCGACGCAGATGTCCCACACACGTTGAAAGGTGTAACAGGCACCAAGGCTGATGGTGTCATTCCATACTCCAAGTTTCTCAGTCTGCTCGCTGAGGCTGTCGCTGCTGGTAAAGTCAAGAACTTCAAGTGAGCTTCATGGAGAAGAGTGCGAGTTTTGTATGAGGAGACTGAATCATATGT